TAGGTGAGTTTCTAGCTTTATGAGAGTAATCCCGCGATATAGGAAGAGACTACTAACTATCCTATATATCCTATGATAAGGAGATGAAGATATAGTCGTCTCTTAGTGCCGCTCCCTCCTTAGCTTCGACTTTATCTGCTACCTCTTCCTCTATTATATCGTAAGCCGCTGCTACCTCCTCTACTGCTTCCTCTACTGCCTTAATCTACGTTACCTAGCCGCGGGTTCTCCCTTGCCAATAGGTATAGTCTCTAGGTAAGTAAATCTATTTCCCGGCGGGCTTATCGTCTAAGAAGATCTTATTATATTCCTCGAAGTTAATATTATTAGAGATAGGTAGACCCTCTGTGGCGATCTTACTCCCTAAAGAACTATACTTCTTAATATAGAGATTCTTATCGTCCTTACTTATTAATAATAGACTAGACTTATGTTTATAGTGAGATCTAGAGTAGTATTCTATATCCTTAAAGGCCCGCTAGAAGCTCCTAATCTATATAATCTTTATTATTATTATCTTTAGGGCCTATTAGGCCTCTAGCTACCTCCTTTAGAAGCTAGGGATAAATATCTTAAAGAGTAACTTATAGGTAGACCCCTTCTTTACCTTTAGCTTTCCCTGACGATAAGCTTCTAATAGTCTCTCGAGGAAGTATATCTCTTGCTCCTTAGATTAATGCTAACTCGTCGGATTCTTTGACTTCCTCGTATTATCTTTACGTTGGTGATCCCCTCGCTCTTTAGATCCCTCGCCTATAGCTAACGCGGACCTTAATGGCTGGCTAGACGGCGCTATTAACGCTTTAGCCGGCGACTCTATGCGTGCCATTGAATTTCGTAGTGGGAGCTAGGAATGCAGAGGCATCTTAGAAATTCTAGCGTCTCGATAGCCTTATTTTGATTATTAAAGGGCGATATCACTATGGCTCGAGTATTAGCATCACGATGACTTTAACGGCTACGGGGGAAGGCGGTGAGGGAAGGAGTGGTATTGAGCTTAACGGGGTTTTAATATATAACGGTGGGTACGCTAATTTTATGCGATATAATGTCCCGAGCTAAAATCCCTGATAGACTGATAGACGATTGGCATCAGGGCCTTATTCTGTGGAAGCCCGCAGCCATGATAAATGCCAGAAGAACAACTCAGGATTTCAGCACCACTCTATATTACCGCCATTAAAACAGTTAAAACTCTCAAGATTTTTCATTTAAGTCACAGAATCTGCCTGTTCATATCAATTAGCAACCCTTGGGGATTATTCCTGGGTTCCCCTCACGACGAAGCGGGCATACCTAATCGCACAACTGTGAACAAGGAGCCCAGGATCGTACGAATGCCGTTGACTCGCAATGAATGACGTCAGTCTTATTCGTCTCTATTAACTATTCGAACTATGCGGAGGCTTCCTTTTGCCCTTCGACGCCCGCCTTTCTGGAGCCCCTGACCTCGATCTGCCTCCCAAGCGTTCATTGTATGTCGGATCCTACAACTTGTTATTGTCAGAATTATAAATTCAACACCATGGTCCAATTCTTGTACGCTTGTACTTTTCAGTCTATTGTAGCATGAGGCTCGGGGGTCACTGATTTGTGGAATCAACGTGTTATTGTTACACCAGACTGGATTGACTCCTTTCACAGAGAAAGCCACAGGCCGCAAAATGAGGACCCATGTATCGCACCAGCTCCCAAAGCAATGCTACGTATTGAAACATGATTCGGCCGAGGTTCGGCGAGCGTCATCGGGCACCAGGTGGTGGATCCCCGAAGCATGCAGTGAGATTCAGTCATCGGGGACTAAGTAGTAGAACCACAAAGGATGAAGTGAGATTTATTTGGCTAATATACATTGGCCAGAGCACCGCACCTCACTAAGCAGCGTTTATGAATGGCGTAGACCTCAGCTCAATTTTCTCACTCTTCAACCACGTCTATCAGAAATTAGTGGCAATGGCTCACCAACTCCGTGGTCTGTCACAAAAAACAAGCTGTTCAATTAACTCCTTACCTTATGAAATCATCAATTCCGTCACAGATCACCTTGGCCAGGCCGATATCAAGTACCTCCTCCAGACATGCCGAAACCTCGCCTCGACTGTGACGCCAATAATGATACGGCGAGACATCGATGACGGTATATACAACTCTCTATCTTGGGCCTGCTACTTTGGCGACTTGGCCATCGGGAGGCGATGCTTGGACATGGGGGCTTCCCCAGATGCCGCCTTTCTCCTCGATCCGGACCGACGTCTTCTTCCATTCCAGCGAAAACCAAACTGGCCTGACACATACGAGCGTGGTTTGACCGACTACTCCTACGAGGTTACAGTCCATCCAACAAAAAAACTCGGCCGCATTCCTTTATTCTATCAGTCCGAGTGCTCATCCTGCAGTGCCCTGAGCCTAGCTACTAGGAGAGATCATGTTGGAATGGTCAAGCTCCTGCTCAGCTACGGCGCCAGAGTTATTGAGAGACGTCGCCCAGGTCCCGAGCCAGATGACTTCCCCACCCGCCATCTATCCGAATGGCATGGGTTCCAAGGGGTAGGCGAAAACTACTCCCACGAAGCCGTCATAAGCCATGTCCGATCTATCGATGCGGCAGAGGCCCTTCTGGGAGCCGGCGCGGCAAGGTACATCAACCATACAGGCGCAGACGGATATACACCGCTGGAGACACTTCTCTCATCCTGCAGCATATACAGTAACAGCCTGTGGCCCGGCTTAACGGAAACCCAGCTCCATGCGCTCGTTGAGCTGTTTCTCAAGAATGGGGCCAAGACGGCCCGGGTGAACCGAAACACGGGCTGCATGACCGGCGCCATTGCAACCAGTTACCTGAGCGTAGTCAAGCTCATACTCGAACATTCCCCGGATGTGATGGAACCAGCACAACACAGACAGATCCTTAACCTAGTAGTCAGCACTAGTGATCTTTTCGACTATGGAGATCGCTGTCCCATCGACCGGGACAGGCTTTTTGGTGTCCTGCTCGAGGCTGGCGTTTCCCCAGACACATCTCTTGATCATGGCGGGCCTCTTTTACACACTACCCTCCAACTCGGTAGATATCGGGCGGCTCAAATGCTTCTGGACAGAGGGGCCGATCCAAACTTTACTAATATCTCGACCGTTAGCCCTATAACGAAGGTCCTGTGTCAATGTGCGGGCCCAACTGACTTTGAAAATGAGTTCATTATTCCCCTTATACGCGCCGGCGCTGATGTCGACCAACCCTCTCTGCGACCTGAGGGCTTCACCCCCCTGATGTTTGCAGCTTCCGATATGGTTTCGGACAGGATCTTTCAGGACCTTCTTGCCCTTGGGGCTGACTGCAGGGCTGTTTGTCGACTTTCTCCAGAGTATCCTCCAACATCAGTTGTCCAGTGCCTGCTCCTGGGATCTCCCCCAACAAACTTCGACTGGAATGGCATCGAGCACAACAGCTCCCTCCAGGTGACTTTTCAGCCACTTCACAATGATCACGAGGCCGAGGCCACCACCGACTCATTCTGGTGGGATCGACGCTGCGCCAAGTTCACCTCTCTTTTTGCCAATACAGAGCCTCCAGATTTTTACACACCTGACGGACAGCACTATCTCCACTGGGCTATCGATAACCTCTACTATACGAACCTGGAATGGGCGGTAGACATGCTTCTCCCAGCGTATCGTGTGAATCTACGTCCTTCAGACGACGAATGCCCTTTTTGGAGGCTCTTTAGCATCACAAGAGTTGAGAAGTACCTTGCCTTTGGCACTCTGTATCAGACGCTCCGCATCGCCGAGAAGCTGGTCAACGAGCGTCTATCTCCCAAGGAAACTGAAGGAGGCGAGACGATTCTCCACCGGGTGTGCCGCCTCTACCAAGGCACGCCCGACCGCGCGGTTCTGGAAAAGGCAGTCAGCCTTGGACACCGTCTCGACTTTGGCGGAGACTTGACGGACAGGGCCAGAGAGTGGACCGACCAGCTGCACGCAAAGATGAGTGACAGGTTCACCTCGACGACGCGCAGCTGGACGCGCGTGCCCAAGCCGAAGCATCTGGACCGGTACATGAACTGTCGGCTTCGCATTATTGCCTTTATTGTCGAGCTCTTTATGAGACAGGGCGTCAATCTGTATGACGAGGATGAGGGTGGCAAAACGGCTTTCGAGGGTATTACGGATGACCGGATACTGGAATGGATTCCGGAGGAGCTGAGAGACTTGGGAAAGGAGGCAGAAATCAAGTCTAGGAGGGATATCTCCCCCTCGAAGCTGGGTATTAGTCACGGTACGGAGTCCCCCTTAACTTGTGAGATGGAAAAGGAGGACTAAGCTCCAGAGGAACAGCTATTTCATAGTTTTTATCAACCTGCTAGCTCATAATATCATATTAGCGCATTGCTTAAGATAATAGAGCATAATGGCTTCTTATTATAAGGCAGATTATCAGCCTTGGAAAGATTATTCTATAGTTTGTCCAAAGAAACGCTGTTTAAATCCAATGATGGATTCTTCCCTAACTGCCACTTCTATTCATACACTTCATTATTCGCACCATTACTGCAGTGTTGGTGCCCTCACCAGAGGCAGAGGACATTAAAGAGCACAGCACATAACTGCTGTGCTGAGTGTAGGGTAAATGAGCAAACAGATTTCATTCTATCGTATCCTTGCCTCCTCGTTAGCGTCAAGTAGTTTCTATAAATGGTCCCTTTCAAAGAATACATCAAGTTCAAATGTGTCTTCCGCGTCGTAAAAGTCTTTCTAAAACCTTTGACTTTAGTGTTGGTTGTTACTCGAGAAGAAGAGCTAGATCACGTGATGGACCGCACAGCCTCCAGAGCTGGATGACACGTGATGTATTTGGCCATCGCCACTGACAACGGCGCTAGTACGAATTTGGGTAAAGCAATAGCAATGAAAACAACAACAATAACAGGACGGCAGATATACAGAAGACGCTTACCAACACCAAACCCAGTTAGTGAAAGACATCACGGCAACCGAGAATGACAGCCTCCCAGACCTTTGATCAGTTTATCATCGATTGGCTTTCTGCAATTCAAGAATCCTCGCCCCCTGATCTGTCCCCTTCTCCCTGGTGCGCCTCAAAGGACTCCCTCAAGCGCGCTTCAATCAACCATCCTGCCAAGCGCCCCTTGTCGCCTCCAATGACAGATGGTAATGGCTCTCCTTCTAAAAGGCCACGGCCGGATCCGGATGCGACTCCGCGTAAGACGTATTCGATAAGGACAAGTGACACGATATCATTATCGTCGTCTGGCCTCAGCGATGCCAATTCTGCAACCTCTGAATCTATACCCAAACGAAGTCGAACCACCAGAAGCGGGAACAGCAGCCCTACAAAAAAAATCCATATCTGTAATGCGCATGGACAGGCTTGTCGCTCATCCCTCGTTCGATGGGGCCGAGCCACTTCCAGATGCTCTTGATCAGATGCTCGAGGCTATCAGGGATGACAGTATGGGGTCCAATCTGATTACCGCTGAAGATAAGGTGAGCAAACAAGTGGCTACAGTCCATTACTTTCAGTACTGACACTGAGTTAGATTGAGTTTGAGAAACGGGCCATGGCAGGCGGAGATCGCGAGTCCCTCTTTCGTAAAGTCCTCCGGTCGAGCCGGGTGGACCACTCTGGAGAGCGACAGGCCCTGGGGAGATTGCCCCCTATCGACGCTCTTGTTGAGATATGGAGCAAGGCCCAGAAGTGCGAAGACAAGGGCCATTCTGAAGCAGGCTGGAATTGCGCCGTGCATTATCCGTTGATGGAGTTGGCGCTCAAGCACTCCAATATCACCAGAAACGAGACTGAGGAGCTCTCTGTGGATGGAGCAGAGATCTTGGTTGACGTCGTCAATGCGTGAGTGACCAAGATTCAAGAGTCAAGCTGACATATTAACAATGACACAGTACGACGGCCCAGATCTGCGCCGTGGATGCTCCCATGACCTTGGCAGCCCAGCACAAGAAAAGAGTCGACTTCTGCTTCCTTGTCGAGCCAATACCAGGCACTCGCGCAGCGGATTATCTATCTAAGAAGTCACAACTCTCGTCGCATGGGTCTATCAACCATACAGACTTTGCCCCTCTTCGTGCCTGTCCTATCAGCGTTAGTATCGAGACAAAGCTAACTGGCGAGGACTGGCAATCCGCCATGTCTCAACAGACTGTATGGCTCTCAGCCCACTGGAACCGCCTTGACCGGCTCACCAACGACTCGCAGCTGGCGCGTGATGAGCTGTGCTTCCTACCGGCGATTATTGTGCAGGGCCATGACTGGACATTTTTGGCCGCAACAAGGGGCGAAGTCCTCGACGAAATAGGCCGCAGACAGACCATCATTTGGCACAAGTTGGCTTTTGGGTCGACTGATGGGCTGAAGGGGATATGCCAGATCATCAAGGTCCTCCAGCGGCTGGCACAGTGGTCAGAGAGAACATACTGGCCCTGGTTTAGGAAGTTTGCCCTGAACGATCTTGACGGATAGTAAGAGCTGGATGTGACTAGTTCGAGTTGAAGGAGTCTTTTGAGACGTGATTCAGGTCCACGAAGTGTCCTTCTCTATAATATGTGATTCAGCAATCCGGCTTTCCTTATGCAATGGCTTCCCGGGTATATCCCTAGGTAGTATCTAAAAAAAAAAAAGTATTTTTAATAAAGTATTTAATTTATTAAATTAAGCTATTTGCCTCTAGGTCTATATTGCTATCTTATCCATTACTTAAAGCTTATATTAGTAAGAACATTGTCTATTTCCTCATGGGTTAGGTTTATATTACTATCGCAGCATAAGGCCGAGGGAATGGTCATAGGCTGTTGTTGTTGCTGCTGCTGCTGCTCTTGCGGCGGACGGAGCTGCGACATTACCCACACCTTGAACTTTCCCAGAAGTGTGGGGTCGTCAGCGGCTGTCTCCTTGCTGCCGACAATGTGGCGGCCGCGCAGCTTGAGCGCCTCATCTGAGGGGAAGCCGGTGCCGCCAGCGATATCGGCCTTGACATATCTGACGAGGCCGGTCTCGAGCTCGCGCGAGCATAAGACGGCGGCGGGGCGCTCGTAACGGGAGGCGAATGTCTCAATATACTTGTCCAGTGCGGCCTGGTTGGTCTCGAAGGGCTTGATGTTGTCGCGCACGAAGATCTCGACCTTATCTGACCTGGGAGAACTCGAACTGCCGGTGGTCGGGTTGGTGATGACGGTGGATGCGGCCATGGCAGGCAGTGTATTTGTACCGCCCGAGATGTCGGTCGAGGCCGGTGTGGTCGAAGCAGCGTGCAGTATTCTCTTGCCCGGGAAGGCATATGGAGGAGCGAAGCCCGTGCCGCCCTGGGAAAGGTTCCATGAATTCGTGCCGAGGGTGAGACCGGGGCCCGGAGGGAGAATGCCAGCATCGCGCTTGAATCGTAAGAGCCACTCGGCGTTGTCAGCGGCGGTCTGGTTCCAGGGGTCATCGCTGGACAATGGTCCCGTCAATATGGGTATACGATCTGGTGTACTGTGGCACTTACTCGTCGAACAAAATCCATCGAGCCTGATGCTGGATCTCGGCATCAGTCGGCACATGCCAGTTCGGATTGTTGGGTGACATGGTGGACGAGACGAAGCGAGTCAACTCGCGAGCGAGACGACGGTAACAGTTGGCGTCGGTCAAGAGGAACGCACCCTGCTTGCCCGCCTGTCCCGACGGCCCACCGAGGAACGCAGCAACTGCGGCAGGGGTCACCGCTGAACAGCCTCCGGACAATGCCCTAGCAGGTTGCGTCTGCGCCACCGCATTAAGCCGCCGGCGTTGAGCCTGGCGCGTCATCGTCTCTGGCTTGTCGCAAGTGACGAATGTATGTGCTTTCTTCGGGTTCTGGCTGTGGCGCTGTTTGAAGGCGTTGAGCCACTCAATATTGTCCGCCGCCGTCTGGTTCCAGCCGTCGTCGAACTCGTAGATGATGATACGAGCCTGGCGCTGGAGGGCTTCGTCCGAGGGCTCGATATCCATGGCTCGCTGTGCGTCTATATACTCCCCAAGGACCGCTCTAGTCTGCTATACTTGTGGATGGTGGAGTCGACGACGTTCGGAGCGGTTGGGCTGGAGCTACAGTCGGCCATGTCCTCGGTGCTCGGAAGCTGAGCGTGCTGGCGGAAGCTGGCCAGCCAGCTGGTGGAGGAAGTGGTGAGTCTGATGAGCCAGTCGGCAATAAAGTCGGACGGTGGGGTTGCGGCTTCTTCGATGCGGCCAACGATGCAACAAGCCTCCAGCTGGAGCTCATTATCATCCATGGTCGTAAGACTCAGGAGGGGCTTCGCCCGCAGGTACTCGTGGAGCTGTTGCTCAAGTGGGCATTGCTCAAATAGGTTATCCTCGCCATTATTCTTAAGGATAGATAACTTATTCTAAATACCTTGACGCATAGGGCCGAACTGGGCTTGGCGAGTGATGTCCTCTGAGGCCATCAGAAGGTCACGTAGCCAAGAGGACGTGGCCGAGATGCCCTGGAGAGATAAGACTTCAGAGGCGAAAATGATACGACAGGCCTCGAGCTGCATATCCTCGTCGCTCGGAAGAGTGCCCATCTTCTCCTCGTGGTTCACCGTGAAATATTCCAGTTCTAGCTTGATCAAGTCATAGGCACTCCTGGGGGTCTCAACCGGCGCGCCGCTGGCAATAAAGGGGAATGGAGAGCGGCGTTCATTCTCAATCAGATCCATTAAAAGCCATCAAAGTCAGAAATTGCCTCAAATTGGTCCACGGGACATATAAGGGGTTACGTACACGGCGGAATAAAATTCTCAAGCATACTAAGCATAGGGGCATTAAAACCCCAGTTGCCCTTCTAGTCAGCCATAGTATTACCTGTCTTGAAATGCTCCGCTAGGTGATCGGCTCGAATTAACTAGCTATCCATCACGATACCGCAGAAACCGCAGCGCGATCGGATCTCGGGGCTAGCGACCTTCCAGGACTTCATGCAGTCGAGGAACTTGACACCGTGCACGAGCCTCAGGTGTTGGTTTAGGTGATCTTTACGAAAGAACGTTCTCTCCTCAAGCGACCTCTCTGGGCAGGCCGAGTGGTTATGGCTTTGGATGTGGGCATCGTTGGGTTCGACCTCGCCGCAGAAGACGCAGCAGATCCGGTTGCTCTGGGAATCGAGACCCCGAGGGCCATCAGGAGCGCAGATCCATCGTTCGAGAGAGAGGTGGAGTGATTTCTCGTGCCTGTGCCAGTCGTGCTTAGTCCTGGAGGTCTCGGTGCAGAAAGTGCACTCAAAAGTCTTGAGAGGGGTGGCTAGGGAGGTCTTCTTCTCGCGCTTGGGGGCGGCCCTCTTCCTGCGACGGCGGTGGCTGCGCTGTTGGGTCATGGAGCCGACAGAGCCGAAGGAGCCATGCCAGTAGGCCGAAGCGAAGGAGCCATGCCAGTAGGCCGAAGCGAAGGAGCCACCACTGGAAGTGCCAGCACTGCTCGCGGATGAGATATTGTAGAATGAGCGGTTGGAGCTATCGTCGGAGAAGGCGAAGCTATGCGGGCTGTTCAGTGCGAAGGAAATGTCCGAGTTCAAGGCGACGGCCGTGGCAATGGCGGTGACCGAGGCGGGTTCGTTCTCAGGAGGGGAGTCAACCCAACGCTCCAGCGGACTTATGTTGCGAGTATTGCTGTCAAAGGCAGGTGTGCCGGGGCGGTGGGGGATGTCGATAGGGTCGGCCCGGTTGTTGCGAACATGAGGGGGGGTGAGCTTGGTGGGCTGGGTCTTGCCTCTACGGCGAGCGTTAGCAAGCCAGTTGGCAATCTGGGTCTTGTTGAGGCCTGTCTGGCCCTGCAACATCTCCTTCTCTTTCTCGTCGGGGTAGGGGTGATGGCTATGGGAGGAGAGCCAGTTCTTAAGGATCTCGACTGACTCCCTAGAGAAGCGCGTGCCGATCATGGGCGGCGGGCAGCGCGTGTCTAAGCCATGGTCGAGGGGACCCATCTCGGCAGAAGAGGGCATGAAAAACGGCTGCTGGGAGGATTCAGAGAGGGAGGCACTTAGGAGACTGATGGGGGGCACGGCATCGTGAGGGATGAGGTTGGGATGCTCGCCAATGGAAAGCCGGGGCTTAGAAGGGAGGGTCATACTCATACCCCTCTGGCCGTGGGGCTCGGGGGCGAGGCCGAAGCTGCACTCGCATCGGAGAGCGACGCAAGAGGTGCAGTAACCCTTATACCAACCCTTCTGGATGATCTTGCAAGAGAATCCTCCAATGGAGCAGTGGCCGCAAGGCTTCTCAGGGGTCATCCAAACGAAAGCATTGCAGAAGTCGGCCGACTCAGTGGTAAGACCGGGGGGTAGAGGATGTGAGGAGACGACGTTGTCTGAGAGGGTCGGCTGGGACTGGCCACTATTGGGGTGCTGTAAGGCCCAGAAGCCGAAGTTGTCGTCGTCGACATTGGCCAGAGCCAGGCCGATGTCTGACAAGTGACTGCCCCCCAGGAGGTCAGGACAGTTCCCGTAGATACCTATGCGGGTGGGTGTGAGACAACGCCTGTAGCCAGGGTTAATGGCAATGCGCGGGACTCAGGCGGGCCCTTGAAAAGTGAAGAATTGAAGAAAAGCCTCTGCCTCTCTAGTTCCGATACTGCGAGTTAGTTGCTCAGTCTCTAACACGCAGAGGGTGATGGCATCTGGGAAGGAGAGACTTTCCTGGGTTTGTCTATCCGCTCGTGGTGGGGCATTGGCATTGGACCGCGCCCTTTATGTCAAAAAAAGATGAATAAAAAATGGGCATTTGCTCCTGTGAGTGAGTGTGTCACAAGGCCAGGTTGGGGGCAGATGTACTGATGTGGAGCAGTGAGCTGCTGTTAACCCTGCCGAGCGTGTTTATTAAACTTGAGGACGGGATGCCCAAGGCTTGGGCGTTTTTAGGTGAGTTGGGCAATCTCTGAGAGGAGTTGGCATGTTCTAAGGGGATAAGCCGTGGATGGCTCATTGTGCAGCGTTCACTGCGAGGCAAGTTAAGACTATGTCCAGCGTGCGCAACTACTCACAGCCCTTAGGAGCCCTTCCGCCGCAGAGGCCTTGCAAAGACAGTGAGCGCGAAGCTCATCCGCAATAAGACAAGCGCATACGGCAGCGACAATTTCGCTGCGGCAGATGTGGTGCCGGATAACACTAGCAGTCAGGCTATGTGTAAGAGCCTTAATGGCAAGGTGCACTGGGCAGGGTCATGGTAGGTTGAGCAATGCTTAAGTGTTGTCTCTTGGTGTTAATTAATATGTGATAGGGCTCTTTTAAACATTAGAGATAATCACTTGGGTCTGGAGTTGTAGTTTCTAGGCCAGTCTTGGCTCGTTTTACTGATCGAGAGTACAACTATAGAGTCTGAATTAGACACTTTGAAAGAGATCATCTTGAGTTACATTGAAAGCACAACGGTCAATAGGACCGAGAGCGATTTATACTCCCTGATTGGGGGTTTGATGAGTCAAATAAGCAGCTGATGGTTTATTGTTCTTGACTGAACCAAAACTTACTACCGCCACTACTTCTCTTACCACTTCTGAGACCCTTCATTGCCTTCATGAAGTTTCTTACAGCTCTTCCGCTTGCTGCCCCTATCGCCCACGCTTGTGGCAACAATGCATACAGGTGCAACAATCCTGATGCCATGCGGCTAGGTATGACCCTTCTGCCGCAGCAGAAGGTTCAAAAAAGGCCACTGTGTTAACATCGGGTCATGGTGTTATGATGTGTTGACAATCTGTTCTTTATTACAGCCGCAGCCCGGCCCTTGATGGGAACTGAGCCAGAAGATCGTCTCAGTGCAGATGAAAGTGGCTGTGTCGTGTGGTCGGTTGTCCTCGCAAATCCTGACTGCTTGTCTTCTGCTAACATTCGCTTTCAAGACTGCAACATCACAAACTTCCACGAGAAATGTTATGGAGGGGTCAACTCCACTGGCGAGATGATTGGCAGGCAGCTCTGCGGTCATTTAGGCAAGATTAAGTGAAGCACCACGCAAGGGAAGCGTGCTGCCCATTTAACGAGCCCATGGCGCACTGGCTGGCAGCCAGCCTGTCTGAGGCTTCAGGGTGAGGGATACATATGCCGTGACAATCATGAGTTTCTTCATTGTCGAGGATGAGTCGATTCGCAACATTTGGTGGATGGTTTGAGATGTCTGGCCGGTCATATCTTTCACCATTTTCATCATGATGATTACCTTTAGCCCGGTTCTGCGTCTGACGATTTTGAGACAGCAGGAATACATCTTCGATAAAGTGCCTTTGGAACTGGCTTGGCAGCCGCCATGTCCACCGAAATGAGTTCTGAGGGCGACTGCTAGTTTGCATCATTGGTGTACGAGCAATTCTTGACGACAGCGCCCCTTTGCCCCCCTCGCAACGAACTACACTGGACGGCACTTCTATTGGTTTCTTTAAGGAGGTTTTTTCTCTCCTCTGTCGTTCAGATGAACCGAGTCAATTAGTTAGGCAGATACACAATAGGGATTAATTGACCTGACGGATACGAAACAATGAGTGAACCTCTTCCCCTGAGGAGGAAGAGACGACATAAATTCTGGCTGTTAAACGGATTTGATGGACTGCCCAATAGGATAGAGCGCGATGTTGTGAATCCAGACGCCATGGCCCTGGTATATGTTAATGCCAATACTGGTCCATTTTGGACGGAGATATCACCCATGCATGGGAAGGCTCTCCGGCTCTAGAGTGCTCAAATTCTGCTCTCCGTTAGGCCAAGCAATTAGATTATGTATGATGGATAGTCCCCTAGAGTTGCCTGACGATTAGTGTAACCGGAGAAAGACGTGCGAGCTTCGAACTGCGGCGTGCAGTGCCTTCCATACTGAGGACAATGAGCGCATTGTGTCCGACACGACACTACGCTTAATCTATTGAGATTAAAAGATGACAGCAAAAGGATCTAGTGTAGATGATAGAGTTGGGCTTTTCTTGAGGCACAAGGTCGCCTTCTGTAGTATGGACGTTGCCATTAGGAGTTGCTCATTCGCAGCCAGAGTGGTGTCGACCAATGACGGGAAGTGCTCTTCCACGAACTTCTGGACTCTTTTACTGACCCAGGGCCGCTTGATTCTCGCCTGAGTCTACTCTCTGGGGCCCTGGGTATGTCATAAAAGAGTTCCATCCAGTGGAGTGGGAATTGCTGTTTGCGGAGGCGTCATCTCAACCAAGATGAGCTCCGTACCGCGCCTCGACAGTACGTCCCGTCCCTAGTCCGTTGACAAGATAAGAGAAGGCGATGCCTAGCCGGTGACTTGAGGATTTCCTTCACACCGAGGTTCCGTAGCCACTCGAGCATAATAAGGAATTTGGTGTAGTCGATGCCCATGTTGCTGGCCAGTTCCTCGCTGAATTCTGGTGTCGGGTATTTCATGTCCGGTAATTTAACTAAATTTAGAATGCTCCCAGACTTGAAGCCCTGAGATGTCTCCTGTATATTTTGGCATTGAAGATATCTCGGTCAAGTTCTACTCTCCCGTGTTGATGTTAGCTATGTGGATGCATGGGGTGTCGCCTGAATTCTTTTATAAACAGCGTCTATGTCTTATCAGGCTGTATGTCCCTAAAAGTCTGAATTTGTACCATCTACTATCTTCGCCAGATAACCAAGATAAGCTGTTGCCGTGTCAGCAGTACTTGCGTATATAGTCTCGAAGTATCCTCTGACTTCTCCTGATGCGCAGATCTGCCCATACTGCAAATCAAGGCGACCAGCAAAGCATGGAGGATCGAGTCAGATAAAATAATAGATTTGCCAGGCCCGGTCTAGTTGGAAAGAATGCGGACTTATTATTGTAGACATATGCCATTGGGGCCTTGCTTCTGGAGCTTGGGTTCCCTGTCATAGGTAAGTACGCACCCGTTACCATAAAAAGCCGATAGTAATCACTAAAATATCTTGAGCGATTATACGCGTCAGCTCAAGTATATATCGACAACATCTTGTCTCGTAATAACCTTGAGACAATACAGGCAGTTCTGTCCTATACCATGTACTCCCTAAGAAGCTCCGTTGGCCATCTGTCTGGTAGGTCATGCAGCAGATAGGATATGACGCACATTAAGGTGAAGTAGGAAATTATCAGGTCTCGCATTACGCCAATGCATCGAACTTGGATATCACCGCAGTTCCAAGCGGTTGGTTCGGTCTCAGACCCTCTACGGGCTGAATTGCAAAAGAGGGTCTTTTGGTGTGCCTTTGGCATCGACTGTGTAGCTGCTCTGACGTTTGGGACGTCCCTTGGGCATTCCTCTGCAAGAGGTCGATGCTGAGGTAGGTGGTCGCCTATCCACAAGTGCTGGACACTAATACTTGTGTGCTAACTCTTCAGTTGCCCATGGACATCGATGATGCGAACATAACCGAAACCGAGCTTCTAGCGAGTCCAAGGGATCCGGCAAGCGAAGCATGCACAACAACGTCAACCGCACTGCACGTGTTCCGTCTTCGTCGAATTTGGGCCAAAATACATGGATCCCTCTATTCCGACGTCAACAGTGAGATTGACCAGGCTACCAGAGACCATAAGATCACCATGTTTCGTACTTAGATTGATGATTGGCTTGGCTCTGTTCCTCCGATCCCAACCCGTACTGATCCCGCCTTGTCCATCTTTGCAACACAAGACTGGTACGACCTTAACTACAACGAGATAATTGCCATTCTTTACAGATTCCTGATTACTGGGAAAGAGGGCGACATGAACGGCGAAGTGGTTCTGGAGTGTGCCAAAGCCGCCGCGAGCAAATGTCTTGGGTATCGACGACAATACATCGGACGCGCAGTCAACTACACCTGGAGTACCCTACACGTTGTCTTCTCGGCTGGTCTAACGTACCTTCGTTGTCTTTGTGCCTCGGCTCAATTACGTCAAGAGACCAGCATCACTGAAATGAGCACCATCCTCACGAGCTGCACCATGCTGCTAGTGGTAATAGCTGAGCGGTGGAAGAAGGCTGCCCCTGACAGAGACATTTTTGAGGCCTTTTGCAGCGGCACCACCTCGATGATGGCAAATCGAGGCAGCCAACAGCCATCATTGCCGCCATCTATGGAGCCGAGCTCTACTGAAACGGAAAGATTTGCGGAATGGGTGGCTAACATCTCAAGCTGGGGAATGTCTGAGGCGGTGGATGATTTGTTAAATGGATTAATGACGGATGTCGAGCCTCAGGAAGAGGCGGAACGCCATGCCTAGTCTTTCCTTTCAACTAGATAATTAGAGTATTGATCATACGATTTATCATCACTGCTCCCCCTGGAGACCATAAGCCATGAAAGACAAAAGCTGTCCAGGAACTAAATATTATGGCTGCATTAATCAAAACAATACAGTTCCAAATGCCACCGCCAGCATCCCCCCAATGACAGCTGCAATCCTAGCATCCGCAACCTTGATAGCTGAGGACGGGGTCGTCGCAGCCGATGCAGAACCTGACTCTGTCCCCGAGGCGTTCTCTGTGGTGGAGCTACCAGTAGTAGAAGGCTCCCCAGTACTAGTAGCAGTGCTTGTCGCTGTGCTCGAAGTCTCGGTAGTGCTGGCGGAATCAGTAGCCGTCTCCACGGCCGTTGTCTTTGCAGTCGTACTCTTTGTCGAAGTAGACGTCTCCTCGTCGGCACCATACTCTTCAATATCCAGCACATACGACGAATTTCCCTTTGTGTTGGACTCAAACTCCTCAAAGCTGGCCCAGCTGGCCCGGCCACCCGTGCCAAGAGATACGCACGCCTCGCGGTAATAGTTGCTGGCGCAGATGCTCACACCATCACTGGTGACGCCACCGCCCGCGTTTGTGCAAGAGACAAACAGCTGAGTAACGAGGCGAGCCGTGTTATCGAAGAATTCATTCTCTGATCCAGATGACAGGCACGTGCGGCAGCCATCCATCGACGTATACCAACCATCCGGGTTGGGGATGCACACGCACTCCCTGGTGTCGGCGTTGGGGCCTTTCAGCTTTTGGCATCGTAGCATAGCCTGATAAATAGGCCAGCACCCGCAGTCGTCGAGCTTTGTGGGACTGTCCACCGCCTCTTTGGTCTTGGACCAGCCGTTAGGGTTTGCCAAAGAGAAGCCGGCCAGGGCAACGAGGGCCGCGAGGGATGATGAGGGATGCATTGCTCGAGCGATGAAGGAGGGTTGTGATATTAGTGATTAGAGTCTTAATAAATGACAATGTGTTGTAACGATTGTTGCGGAAGAAAGCTTGGAGAGATTATATGAGAGTGAAAGGGTAGCATGAGTTTAAAACTGAACAGCTGCCTAGCGAAGGCAATTTAATTCGACAGGGATCATCATCCCCCTGGTAATTTCGGCGTTTACTGCGTAGGGAATCTCACCCACAATCCTTCAGTAAGATCTTGGCATGCCATAAGTGGCATGATTTGCGGACTGGGAGATCGGCCCGGTTCCCCGTGCTTCTTTTTTCGTGTAGGGTACTCGATCTTTAAGCTCAGTTAAGACATCAAGGGCCGGGCTGCAACTATAAGAAAGAACAGATTAAAGTATAGGGTATTCATTACGTGAATGAGAACAGATCTGAGATGATCAAGTCCATGCTAGTTCAACCCATAATGCTTTTCTAACCAGCCATAGAGTCAAAGAGGGGAATTGTGGTAGGCTTGACGAGCAGCAATCCTTCTTCCCAGGTGTATCCGGAAAGGTATAATTCACGCCGTGGCTATTTTATACGCCAACTTCACGCATTGTGCATTCTGGCACCTATCATATGTAACAGAGGCAGTGGTGTGAATTACATCTGTATCAACAATCTCTCAACTACCCTAAGCTTCTTGGGGTCGCAGGATTACTCTCCTATACGAAGCTACCGGCAAGGTATGGCTATCACGTACTGTCAGGATAATATGCATCGTCTATTGTAGTGATCAGTCCTTGGAACATTCAAGAAGGGTTCAACACACTTACGTTGTTGACGGAATCACTTGTCTGGAGAAGGACAACACTCCCATCGGGCTGGGCATTGGTGATATTGACAGATTGGCTCACCAATGTCAGCTTGGACCTTGGAAAGGCTTCTTTTCCATTGGTGAATCCCTCAAGGCCTCTCCCACCAGCCTCACGATAATGGAACCAACTGAAACTCATCTGGTCATCATCCGGGTCCCAGCTTTGGGATGCATCCAATACTATCTTGTCTCCGGGCTTGTATCGCAATTCCAAGGGTGTAGGACCACAAGACCCGTTGACAATGGCGACAGGTGCGTGGTTGTTCTTGGAAAAGCTTGATTCGACCGTCCACTGCATCCGAGTAGCAAAGTCGTACTGGTAGTCCTGGCGCCATCGCCAAATCGTCGCCCATTTGCTGATAAAACCTTGCCCGTTCAAGCCTTGCACATAATCCGTGGCATCTGCGTACACGCGTGACTGGTTTGATTGATCAAGCAAGGTAAATCTTCCACCCCAGGAGCCCCAGTCTGGGTGCTCGATGTGGCCCAGTCCGTTCTGGATTAACGGAAGAAATGACGGTGTGTCTCCCTCCATGATGAAGGACCAGTTCAGGTAGTGTGAGCCAAGGGGCCCTATCCGAATGTGCTGCTGCAACCACTCATTGGAAACGATGCTGCTGTCAGGTCCACCCTGATCAAAGTGGCGGTACTCTTCTCCCGAGATACCATTCCATGCCGCATCTGTATACTCATTCCAGCCGTGGAGTGAAACGACGAAGAAGAGCTGTGGGTAACGTTGGCGGATCCAGACCCCTGTATCGTCTTGATCCGAGATAGAGTACACGCGTAGCTTGTCGACGAATGAGGCCACGGCGGTATCAGCTCGGGTCCGCGAGACGTGTTGGAGGGCCTCAGCGAGGATGGCTGCTCCACCCCAGACAGCAACCCAAAGAGGGTCGTCCACGCTGGAGCCATCAGCCGCCTTGACCAACTCGCTAGCTGCCTGGCTCAGGGTCCGGTTGAGAGAGGCCCTTCCGTATACGGCATGACCCTTGAAGACTCGGTTGACTAAGTCGTCTGCTGAGGGATAAGCGGCAGAAGAAGGGACATTGGCGTTGAGGTTATCGACGACCTTGCGATATGCATCAAGCACTTCGATGATGGTCTCGTGGTCAATCTTGTTCGGCAGCCATGTAGAGGTTGTTGCAGCAATGCCCTGAATATCCAACTCATTGGCATAGGTCAGCAGACGAACGAGACTCATTTGATCATCCGGTTCGTTGCTGATGTCTGTGAGAACAAACAAGCGATGCTTGTTCTCGTACCGAGAAGTTTGACATTTGTCCTCGTTAAGAGCTTGTGACAAGGCAGGGAAGACAAAGACGAAAACGAAGCACCATAGAACCCGTGAAAAGAAGTTGACTGACATTTTGCTTGTGTTGTGAGTGAGGTACTTGGCAGTGCACACCACGATGGCTTCCGCTGAGTGGTCTGTCTACCTTTATACTTGATCAGCTCACAATAATCTCAGCATCTCTTTGACATGGTCAGTGGATGAGACTTCCTGATTGAGTAATGGACTGTCATGACCGCATTTTCAGAAAACCAGGATTGCCGAGACAAAGTGGATGGATCTGCCCAGAAAAGCCATAATCGCGAAAAGCTCTCATTACTATGACATGTTTCCCCCGCAAAACTACAACCATAAGGAGGAGCCATGAATATCACTGCTCAATGCGGAGAGAAGGCGGGGTACCTCGAGTGTGGGGGATTGGTTTGGTGTTTAGAATTGCCTATTAGAGATGGAAGAGATTTTATTACCGTTGAATTCGCCGAGCCAGCCTCCGTTGGCGGCGTTGTGTCATACCTCATTGCTAATACTTGCAGGGTTTGGAATCATGAGATCAGCTGACCCTCATCTTTGGTGTTGGTGATTGTACATGTCGTGGCCTTGCTGAATCAAGATGCTCTGGTGTTGTAGTAGTATTCTTCACCTTTATCTACCTAGTCATCTATCCCCACAATGACTGCTCAACATCCCCACCTATGGCGGCACCAGGCTTCCATCACAACAAGTTATGAGCGAACGGTACTACTAAGAAATCCATCTTGTCCTTGTCAACGTCGCTGTCGCGTGCAAGCAAATAGGAAGCATCAAAGACGCACTTGGCATGGCAGGTTTGTACAAACCTCTTAAAGGATACATGCGACCGACCTTGGAAGGACGGACTGCATTACCAACACCACATCCTGATTAATAGATTTACCTGAGTTTCTTGCATTGGTAGAGAAGGAAGAAAAATGTATAGGACCGCTGGTCGTCTTGACAGGTGATCCTGGCACAGGCAAGTCGATCATTTTGTCCACCATGGTAAACCACCACGTTTGCCCATATGATGGACTTGTCAGGCAGTCTCCAAGTGCCCCGGTCTCCACATACATCTTTCCACACAGCTCTAGCGAGGACAGCCAATCTATTCGATCAATAATAACAGTCCTCGAGTACAGTACTTGCCAACTTGCCGAACAAGATGCCATCTACGCGAAGACCCTGTCTCAAGCCTGCGACTCTAGGGGTAACAAGAGTTATGTCTTCAACGATGCCAGGTTTCATGAACTTTTGGACTTTCTACGAATGGGGTTCCCAAAAGACGCAACCTACGCTATCTGGTCAGTCTTTGACGGGCTGACAGGCTTACCTGAGGACTAGCCACACAGGGCGGCGCAGAAATGGAAACTACCTGATCTCTTATGGGAGCATCTTAGCCTACAGATCTGAATGCTCATGTCCATCCGGCCAATAAAATTTCAGAGCATAGACGTTCCTCCATACGGCAATATCATCGACCCCGATGATCAGGAGTTGAAGGACATACTGACGTATACACTAAACAAGATACGAGAGACTGTTTTGCGACAAAGAGAATCAACCCAAGGGACACGGAGGAGACATTAGAAGCATGCAGTTCTTTTTGCATAGCTTGTCCCAAAATCATGACACAGTGGTCGGTCTAAGGATAATTACGAGTTCGAGCAAGTTGCCAACCAAAATAATCTCAAGAGTAAAATACATATAAACCAGGATGATGGGTATCTTTCCATTGTGGCACGCACTTCTATTACTCTATCCAACATACTGAGTCAAGAGTTCTAGTTGGGTAGCTTCCCACAGCACTCAGAGGAAGTATTTCACAAGGAAACCAACTCCAAGGAGCTCACGCAGGACCAAAAGGAGGAAATTTACGAAGAACGTCTCTTCCATCGTTGCCTCAGGAGAAGCCATCGAGAGGCAATGGGGGAACTGCGAGGGGTTATATGATATCAGGATTAAAAGGACGTCGGCAGGCTCCGAAGATAGCTCGATAGCCCGTCTGTTACATGCCATAGCATTGAGCGGCTCAACAAAGTCTGCCCTCTTCCAAGTCCAAACCACCAGGTTGATGAGGATGGTGGCCAGACATTAGCTCTGTGACAAGGAATGGTCTGCTGTCAAGGCTCACAAATAGATGAGGGGATACCTTGAGATGCCATCAGACATCAGCAAGGAACATGTTTCCTCGGGCAATCAGCGACTTGTTTGAATGGTGCAAACTTGCACTCGGTGTCACTATCCCAAGGGGGCAGCTTTTTTTGGTATGGACATATAGGAGACACATTCTCTAGCATATCCAATCTTTCATCGGCCATCTCCGCCTGGAAAGCGGCGATCAAAACAATCCTGCCCCCAGGTTTTCTAGATAAGATTTTAGATAAGAAACCAGTTAGCTAGATGTAGCTAGTAACTCCGTCCCTTGCTGAGCAGCAATGCGACTATGAAAGGACTCAACATGGGTGCAAGGGCCAAATCCACAAATCAGATGCGTAGATTTATTGGTTTGACCTGGCTTTGTCCACTTTTGGAAGGAGGGCACGCGAGTAAAAGGCGATAAGCTGCCGATTGCTCGAACTTTTGTTTTCTTGGCAACGAGATAACGGGGATCTCTCTCAATCCTCGGTCGGTGTAGATAAAAGATGGACATGATGGCGCAAATAATTAATATTGCTTGTCCCTCCCTTTGCTGTTCCAATCCTGATTGACCCCTTGGCTTCAACCTTCAACCAGGTATCAACCCGTCCACGATGCGTCTTCCATCAGTTCTCGCCGCAACGGCTCTATTCTTTGCCTCCTCGTCGCAAGCGCTCAATATTTTGCTGAACAACGATGATGGATTTGGCTCGGCAAACTTGCGCGAGCTCTATCGGATCCTCAAGGAACAGGATCACAACGGTAACAATCATGTCCCAAGCCTGCTTGAGATCAAGGCTAAAACATGACCATCTTCCAGTCTGGGTTGTTGCCCCCGCGACAAAGCAGAGTGGCAAGGGCGGAACCTCTGAGTTTACGACCGAGGGAAACTTGACTGGACCATCCCATTACGACTTGATCCCTGCGGGAGCACCCTCTGTCCGTTATCTCAGAATCCGTTTTGAGAATTAGTTTCTAACATGCTTTTTTTAGGTCGGAAGTGATCCCAAGGACAGCCAGATCTGGTACTACAACGGAACACCTGCGGCCTGCACCTTTGTTGCGCTTGACTATGTGCTCCCGCGTTATGCCGATTTCAAGGTTCCTGACCTAGTCGTCACGGGCCCTAACTTTGGAACCAACCTGGGTGGTTTCGTGTGGACTCTGTCGGGCACTGCTGGTGCTGCGTGAGTAATCTTGGCCCAGTTTCATTCTATTCGAGAGTGAGTTCTAACAAGACATTGGTAGATACGCTGCCACCCACCGCGGAATTCCTGCCATTGCCATATCCGCGAGCAACCAGGAGACTCCGTATTTTGAGCTCACTAACCGCACCAACCCCGCGACCTGGGCTGCCGAAGTCTCTGCAAAGTTCGTTGAAAAGTTCATTGGCACGGCGCCTAAACGCGCCCCCCTGCTGCCTATTGGCTATGGCATCAACCTCAATCTTCCCCTCTTGACCGACGGCGATGACCTAGAGTTTGTACAAACTAGGTTTACTGGAAACGCCCATGTCAATGAAGCCGTGCTTGATCCCAAAAAGGGAACCTTCACCTGGGCGAATATCAAACCATATGCTGCCGGCGTGAACGCTTGCATCAACGGCAACTGCTCTCTGCCCGGCGAGACCTATATTGTCGAGAATGGTGCGGCTTCAGTGTCCCTTTACACGGTTGACCACACTGCCCCTAGTACTTCATACACACAGTCTCTTATGAAGAGGGTGGCGTCTGTGATATCCGCTGCTTGATTGACGGCCGAGAGTTCATGGTAGTATGATGCTCTTCCACCGTTCCTTAGTATTAGAATAAGGCAGATAGTCAAATCAATCCCTATCGAGCACTCGAACTCTGGAGCACTGGATGTTGGTGCTCTAACATGACGGCAACGAATTTGACGATCGGCTTCAAAGACTGCGTTCTGAAGCGTACAAATTTTGTCTTTCGAGATGACTGATATGTGGACGCGTTGGCCATGGCAGGTAACCCTGACAGGCGCGTTCTGAAAAGTGTGGTGTTTTATGCACTAGTATGTAGATGGTCTGCTGAGTTGACATGGGCAGGTTACAGGGCCAAATCCCACCAGACCGGCCGTAGAATAGATTACCCACACTCGCAGGAAGGAGTCTGAAACGCGACTCGTACACTGCGGAGATCCCCCGAGCCTGGACGCGCTAGTTAAAGGGTACTAAAGTTTGTAAAGAGCCACCACGTAGATCCATGTACCCCTTAGCAGCAGATGACTCCACACGTTGTTCTGCCCAAGCTCAAGAGTCGATGAAATTGGCAATGTTGGAGATGCTCATTAGCATTATAGTGATGACCTATTGTGAAGACTCTACTGCAAAGATGATATTGTAACTTGCAAGCTGGAAAGAAGGTGTGTTTGCTTTGTCACCTTGCGTACTCCAACAGCAGCTTCTTCAAAACTCGGCTTCACCAGTGTCGGGTTTCTCTTCGGGCCACAGTTTTGATCAGTCCCAATCATACCTTGACTATTAGAAACAAACGCAACCAGCCTATCGCGCATGGAAATAAATCCATCAGAAAATACCATGTCTTTCGTATTTCTCCAGAACAACTCAACTTCAAATGATCAGACATCGTCACTACCCTAGAGCTTATCGCAATCGATAACGTTGTTGGGCCAACGCCCTGGTTCAGCTTATGTAACACTACGATAAAGTCAGGACGGGCGACCGTAAGCGATTCTTTGCCTACCTAGATACCTCTTCATCGTTAACTGACCTGCCGACAACTCTATTCCCAACCGCCTCTTCCTCCTCTCATGTGTGCGCAATGAGTTTCGAGCGTATTGAGGATTGGATAGCACAAACCAACTCTCTCATCAGCCCCCAGATCGCCTTGCAACCGCCCAAACGCAAATTCGCCGACGACACCATTGCCATCACAGCCATCGGCATGTCCTCGCCCCCTCCGACTGAAGACCTGTGTAGCGATATAGAAGCAACTCCAAGGGCAAAATCACCGTCGAAGCGCCCGAGGATCGACTCACCGCCAGCGAGTCTTCACCATGAATCGATTGCCGACCACGACACACCTTCTCTCAGCGCGAGCTCTGTTACCGAGTCGACACGGACGGATACGACGGGTGGAAGTGGCAGACTGAGGCGCAAGCGAAGCCCTGTCAAGAACATGTCTGACCTGCGTCTCGCTGACAGACCGGTTGTGCTCACCACCTTGCAAAGACCCGATCAGCTACCATCTGACGTCGTGGGCCTGGTCACGGTCGCTCGTGCCATCCGTCAGGGATCCAGCATTATTCCCAGGCAGGTCGAGCAGCAAGCACAGTCGTACATGACCATCGTCGATGATCTGGTCTCGGATTCAAGTTTCTACGACGCAGAAGAGTGGGCGCGCTCCCACGGATTGGAGCCATGGGATGCATCCGAGGAGCTGAGGTTATTGAGGAGGACCGTCGCGCGCACACAGGAATGCGAGTTGGAGAATTGGTCTGAAGCAGCGTGGAACGCTCGCATACACGAACCAATTCTGGACTTTGTCCTTGAGTGCTTTGCTGGATCAATACGACATTTCGATGTCACACGCGCCCCAATCAACAAGCCCTACCTATCACGTCACATCTCCGGGGTAGACATGCAGTCCAAGATGGTGGACTTTTGTATCTGTCTTGCTGGAGACGACATTGTCACTGCATCTCAACGCCGTCTCAAAACCGCCAGTGATTCCAACTCGATTAACCACACGTCGTACCAACCAATCCGCGATCGCCCTATTGCCATCAGCATCGAGACCAAAACGCTTGAAGGATCGAGTCAAGAGGCAAAAGCACAGCTCTCCATCTGGGCAAGCGCTCATCTCAAGAGGTTGCGGTCTCTGGCGGGCAAGTCATCAGCCAAAACGTCGCATGCTGTCGGCATAACCCTTCCCGTGCTGTCCACTAGTGGTGGAGATTGGACCTTGCTGTTTGTGAAAGACGGAATTAGCGGCGTTGAGGTCATAGAGACACTTTCTGTAGGGAACACCAAGTCTCTAGTTGGGTCTTACAAGTTGGTGTCGGTGTTGAGGCAGTTGGGGCTTTGGGTGCAGACCACGTTTCGACCTTGGGCAATGGAAAATCTCCTGGCTTCGAAGCAAGTATAATGATGCAAATTACGTATAATGATTCCCATGACACTACCACTGCGCTTATGTATTTATCTGGGCATCAATCCGAATAAATATGAGACAACTTGATTGCTTTGGGATGAGGAGGCAAGAGGTTCGAAAAATAGGGCCAGTGTCTCCCGAAGCTGGCTTCAATTGATGATCAAATTGTTCAGTCATCGATCACTCACTACACTACAGTAAACCAAGTATTCTGTTTTGTCATCTCGGAATCAGATTCTTGAAGCAACCGCCTGAGGTTTGGCTTTCTGTTGGAAATACTTGCGGTTGTCAAACGCAGAGTAACTTGTGTTCGTCGACTGACTCCCGGACAATCAGAAAGAAGATGGCAACGCAAATGGTTCTTGGCCCGTCATGGGGCTTGGTGGCGGTTGTTCTTCCTTGGCCTCACCTGGGTTCGGTGCGCATTTTGCTTCGTGCACGCCGCAATGTGGAACGCGGCGTAGTGCCTAAGCCAAGGATGGCCTAGATGAATCTGTCAATGTTCAGTACCGGTTTTTCGGGATAGCCTAGCCAGCCATGATGCTGTCGGCGAGCCGAGGGCGTAGGTAAATCTGCTGGATAACAGTATTCGATGTTCATGAATAAGACATCGATACATCTCAGCGATATTCTTTACAAGACATACGTCCTCTGTCAATGTCAAAGCCAACCCAAGAAAAGTCAGCATGTTATTCGTGTACACCTAGTTCCCCTTTCTTAAAGCTGGAGCATCTCCTTTCCCACGTGGCTGGGTTGCCCACTAATGCACCAGAGGCCCAGTTAATCGGTCATGACCGTATCGAGGCAATTCCGGTTGCCAAGCATCTAGACCAAAGACCACGTTTCAACGGTAATGTCGGCCCCTCCAAAGCATGAGACAACTGGAGCTGAATGGGGAAAGGACAAACGGTGGTTCGTTGCGGTGCCGCAGCCGCGATACAGAACTCTTTTAACACAACATTGAGAGCCCTGTTTCCCCCATGATGCCGATGAACCTCCCTCCAGGATCGGTTGCTGGTACTAGGGTAGATATCTCTTACTTCGGCCATCCGGAATGACGACTCAAATTCCATGGGTTAAGTAGGTCAAACAAGGGCAGAGCGCTCGTCAAGGCAGGGCAACAATTTGTTTAACCACCCCGCCCAACCACCCTTGCTATTCTCCGGATGTGTGACCCGGATCGTCACGACACACTGACACAATATAGCTGTGATTAGCGAGAGCAAGTAGGAACTTGTCCCAAGCCTCTCTTTTTCGGTCACTTATCAAGTCTGAAAGCCAACGACCCGACCCTTAGGCGGCCCAAGAGTTACACCATCAAATGCCAACAGCATCGAGATAACGGTGCTCAGACATTTCCAGAATGCACAGACATACTTCGTAGTGGCTTTTCTGATTTAGGCATGAGCTCCAACAACTCCTGAGTTACTCAGGCCGACACCAGCTGCGTCACATATGGATAAATCGAGTTGGCCTCCCATGGTTCCAATTTCCCATCTCACATAGATGAATGTGTGCAAGATAAAAAATCATGGGAAAGAGAAATACAGTAGAACTAACACGCTGTGGCCGAGCGAGAAGGTGGCGTCAATGAAATGAATTGCCCGGCGTTCCACTCGGCCAGGGCCCATCATAAGCGAGGCAACTCCAAGGCAAATGCCGTGAGGTCAGAGCGTGAATGTGAGTGGGCCTCGTGGCGTCAAGATTCCCTTTCATGAGCCTCGCTTATCAGATTTTGCTGGGGTACGCGAGCTGAACGACTTGGCAACCATGCCTCGCGGCCTCGGCTCTGAGATTCAACTACCGGGAACGCCGGAGACGATTTCCCAGATACTCTGTGACTCGTTAAGGCTATGTAGATACTGAAGTATAACGCTCTCCGATCACTGATTGTTTGGATAACATGGAAAGGATTATACCTGAGATTGTTTCGTTCCTTAACTATATCCAGACACCTTGATCTGGAGCAGATCAACGGCGTGATGTTTCAGCCAGCCATGGATCTGGGCCCACCTTGGCTACGGTAGTTCCGCACTCTAGCACCAAACCTTCATTGTGTACGCAAGCCTCATCAGCTCGCTTGGGCTTTTCTCGGCTAGTGGCTTGCCTAAAGCCTGTCAATCCCGATTGACATATGACCAGTAACCCGGTTATGCCAGGGCGCTGCTCCCTGCGTCAAGCTAAGGAAGGCTGGCTGTGAACCATCTACACGTGCGTCTACGTGGAGGGTGGGTAAAGGTGCGAGATCGGTCGCTTGTTGATTAGCAGAAAACCGAGCAAGGACAATGTGTTGAACCACTCCAAAATGCACGTGGACCCTCCTCACCAGGGGTAAAGGGGAGTAATAAGAGACACTCATGCCTCGATCGTGTTTTCTGGGCCCGATGACATCGAGGACAGCTCTTTTGTTTGCTGAGCCGAGAGACATTCTTCATCATGCCGTCCGAAGATCTCTTTGATCAATACCTAGGGCATGTCGTCCCCCAAAGCTACAATGGTGGATTCATAGCTCTCAGTTATTTGGTCAGCCTCGTTGGGGCGGCATCGACACTCGAGCTGATCAACCGCCGGACTGGATCGAGAGGGTTCTTTAACCAGTATGTCAACATGCGGGAATACTTTGGTGTTATAATACTGATGCGATTAGCTTGCTCTTGGTCAGTTCAGCCATCACCATGGGTGGTATATCGATCTGGTGCATGGTGAGTGACTGGACACTATCGTGGCTACCTTTGTACTAACAGCCCATAGCATTTTATCGGCAACAGGGCTATCGACCTAGCGAACCACGAACGCGACTTGCAAGTGGCATACTCCAGTGGCTTTACTGCCGTCTCCTTTTTCGTCCCCATCGTCGTTCTTCTTGCCGCCTTTGTCGCTATTGGCACGAATAATTATATCTCCTGGTGGAGAATCACGATCGGAAGTGTTCTCTGTGGTGCTGCTATCTGCGGTATGCACTACCTCGGGAACTCGTCCATCAAGAATTACACATGTATATATCGACCAGCATTCATCGTTGGCGCGGCTATCATCGCCGTGTTCGCCAGTATTATTGCCCTGTCTCTGTTCTTCGTATTTCGAGGACTATGGGCTCACTCGTGGTGGAAGCGATCCTTGTCAGCCTTTATTCTCGCCGGAGCAGTATCAGGAATGCATTGGTGCGCTGTCGTCGGGACCCGGTATCGGCTTGTCAACATACAGACCAAGAATAACGAACCCTCGAGGAACGCAACTGTCATTGTCGTCATCTGTCTGGTGAGGGTATCTTAGCTTAAGGGAAGAGTTTGACTAACCCATTTAGTCACTTGGTGCTTGTCTCATCCTTGCCGGCTCTGCTATTCTTCGTGCCCGAAAGATGAAAAGGTCGGCCCTCCGAGCCCAGCAAATCACGTTGGGCACTGCGATATTTGATAAGCATGGGAGGATTCTGGTTGATCCTGATGGTCTCATGCCTAGTGTGGCCATAACAGACTCGTTCTTGGAGAAGGTATGTAACCCCTAAGATCATTTACGTTCCCGGCAGTTTGTCTAACATGAGAGTTACAGAACAGTAGGGAGGGATTCAGCAACACACATCCCGTTTTCCACTGGCTTTTTCAGGCCTCACGAAATTGGAGCGGGATTTCAACCCTCTTGGACGGCATGAAGCATCATCTTCTCCAGCTACCGCACTCTGGTGGCGAAAAGAGTGGCATTCAATTGATCAACGAGCACGGCGAGATGATTAAAGATTATGACGCCATCTTCCGCGAACTTTTCTGCGTTGCTGCTCTCACCCTCTCGGAACAATTGGGTGAGCACATCACGTCGATGGGAGTTCTCTGGGATGACGTTCTGTCTACCGGAGCATACCGGGCAAGAGTTATGCCGAGACTCAGACGACCACGGAGTCCCATATCAGACAGCGAGAGTACAGCCAAGGAAGAAGACCAGGCCGGTGTCGATGCGGCCGAAAAGGGGTTTCCGGGTTACCAAACAGAATGCGGACGCGGATCACTGATGCTCTTGGTTCGTCGGGTTCGCACGAGCCGTGACGCCGACAGGTTAACATCAGCCGGTTTCCGGTTCGCCGAACTGCATCAAGTGAGCAACTTGATTCAAGCCAGCATGCAGATCCAGTCGAATGATTTTGAGAAAACACTACGGGGTCTGGAAACGTACGCCGGTCAAGACAAACGGCAGTCCTCTGGATCATACATCGGGCTGTTTGCCGTTCGCGCCCGGGTTGATTCTCGTGGCTTTCAGGTGCTGGTTCACAAGGGGGCTAGGCATGTCCTCCCTTCTGAACGTCTGCATACGGGAAGTATCGACAAGTGGCAAGTGGATTTCTTGAGACAATTCCAAGGGATGCCAGTTTCGAGTCTTGTTCCCAGGCTCTTTGATGACGACGTGGCTCCCGCATCCTCGAATGAAAAGGCCTTTGCCAGACAAATGGGTGAAACTATCAAATCTCTGCGCAAGTCTATCAAAGATCCTTTATTTGAGCAGGCAGTGCTCTCCCCGACAGTCGTGCACCTGCCAGGCCACGAGAGCCAGGCCGAGGCGGTCATGATAACTTTGCGACTTGTGGTTCCTATCCACTCGGTCCTATCGAGCGCCGACTGCGAATTTGTGCCTCTGAGTATCTTGAAGATGCACCAGGCTTCGGATGGCTGGCATCAAGAGTTTACCCGAGACGTGCACCGCGAGTTCGGGTCTCTGGTCCAATCTTGTCGTGCCAATACTGGTGAACAGGGTCGTCGATCGCGGGAATTCAGCTTCTGGCCGTTTGCATCGTTGAAGACTTCTTCCAACATACATGTCAAGAGAAACCCGATGATGGTATTGACAAAAAACCCAAGCTCACCAGCGTCGGCACGTTCTAGCTCCACCGTCAATCTGTGCCCACCCAACAGCGCCGGCCGACCAAGATCAGTTGACACAATGGATGAGATCAACAAGCCCAAGTCCCAAGATGACTGGCGAACGGCACCGCCATCTTATGGAGGTATCCTGGTATTCAAGGAGGTGACAGTCAATGTTGACAAGAGTGAAGGAGGCCGTGGAGATGGAAAAGGTCAGGATACGATGGTTATTGAGACGTCAGATGGCCTTCAAACAGCATCAATGTCAAGCATCGAGCTACAACCGATGACCAATATCGGGACGGATGCTCATATCGGGTCGCAGGATACTGGAAAGGTGGATGGGAACATGTCTAACACTGAGACATTTGTTGATATCTTGTTTGCGGAAGCAGTTGGGAGTGGCTTGTAGTTTAATAGTAGAATAATAATAAGCAAGAGAGGCAACCGTAATCCATACTGGCCTGAAGGATTGTGTTTATAATTTTCAGAGCCATTCACCTGGTCTGTGGAAACATCAAGACACGAAAAGGGCAAAGTGCCTCTAACTCTTGTGAAATGTCTACAAGACCGGGAAGCTTTTAAGCGGTGGATTGGAGGGATTAGCTTCTGCTGTGGGTGCAGCCAAAAACCTTAATCTGCATAGTTGACTCATCAGATCCTCGACTAGCGGGTATAAATCGCTCTCGACGCCCTTGGCCCGTCCCTCATCATTTCGAACGGTTTCATCACCCCTCCACGACTTTAGGCGCAATGACGAACATTACATCGATATCACATCAATCGTTTTCTGCCTTGTCTCCCTATCTTACCACATGCCTCTCTGGCACCAGAGATCCGGCAGTACCCGACGACAATATACGCCACCATGAGAATCTTGGTTATGATCCGAAGTATCTGAAAATACCACCATTATACTCTTTGCCAGAAGGAATGCCGAACCTTATCTGCCAAGAGCTACGATATATCTTCTTTGAAGTAACAGCCCTTCATTTACGCCACGAGGACGAATACAAAATCTGGTGGCGTCGAGACGGGAGCATGACATGTATCGATAGGCGACACCTACCGGCCGGATTCATTGAGCCAAGGCGAGTCTATCAGTTTTTGAATAAAGAACTAATAGTATACTTTGAAACCATGTCAGTCAGTGCGTACTATAGCAGTAAGATCGCCCGCTACATATACCGAGAGTGGTTACATCTACACAATGGGCGCCCGCCCTTTCAACGAGACGGCTTCTTCGCCAAAGCGGTACAAATCAGCAAGAACGGTCCTCAAAACCTAAAACAGCTTTCAGCGTGCCATGGCAGGATTTGTCAGCAATTATCGGATCGCTTAAACGATCTTGTCGATTTTCATCCAAGGACAAGGCCAAGAACACCACCACCACGCTTCTTCGAGCCGATACATGGCAAAAAAATACAGTCGTGGAGAGACAGCGGCTATATTTTGCGCCACCTATTCCGTGCGCTATATATAGTTGTTGACAGAAAGTCTTTAGAAGAGTCTCCAGAGCCAGACCCTATCTGGCAAGATCACAACACACCAACTCTCTACCTCGAAGATGTTCATAACCGGGACTTAGCACGGTGTACTGTGCTACTGGTTAAGACAGGCGATGAGGCGCATCTTCACTCCCCCATCAGCTTCTTACCACTGTTCGATGCTGGACAGGCATTAAACGTTGATCGTGTGGATTATCATGATAATGTGGAAGAAACGGTGGTGCGCGTCAAGTTAGATGTTGCTGTGCGTTTTGTATGGGAACTTTTATGTAAAGAGGAGGGCGCTCTTGACGAGGTTGGACAATTAGCCGAGGGGTTAAGACAGGAGCAGGATGCATTTTGCGAGGCGTGGGTGGTAAGGGTTATGGGTCATTCTCATCGAGTTGGCATTGATAACAACGGATATGCATGGCTGGCTATTCGTCGGGCTTTGGCCAGGATGAACAACGAGGCTTTCGAGGAGGATCAAGTCTACCCGATATGGGAGCGAATACGACACTGGATATGCTGAGATTAGGACCCAGCCGGCCATTGGCATTGACAATGTCGCATACGGCTGAGATGTGGGCTCCATGACGAGGAAACCAGGTTTGTCAAGTAGGCTGACCCGAAATGCAGCGCTGTCTCAGATTCTATACCATACCTGCAACTGGGGGAAAACCAATCTACCTAAAAATAAGTCTTGCAAATCATTATTTACATTAAATCCAATTTTCCAAGTTCGGTTGATCATGTCGAGGTTCATGGGTAATTAATTATGTCATCTTCTCAATTGGAGTTGGTCGTGAAGTCGTCGCACCTTCTCCATGTAATAAGTCTAGGCCCTCAAGCCTCATGTGCAAAATTGAACCTCTTCGACCAAGCCATCCAGGTTTACTTTGCTGTTACTTGATCTCTCAACCTGTCTCTGTCATCAAGTACATTGTTCTTAACCTCGGAGAATCATGGCCACTGCTGACTATGCTCCAGATCTACTCTCCCCCGACGCTCGACAAGGCCAGTATGACCAGCACTGAGCCATCCCAACCTTCTGAAACGCGCCGAGATGCGTATTTCAACGCCCTTGAGGCTGGGAGACGCTTAGTTGCGCAGCTTCACGCGAATACAGCTCCCCCTCCCGTTCACCCCCCCATTACCACGAACTACCGGGTCCGTTACGATGAGTTCACACAAACGCCGCGACAGTTACTTGGAAAGCCAGCATACACTGTCATAGCTCGCGAGAAGCTCGGTACCAAGAGGCTATCGTGGTGTGAAGTTTATAGCCTACACAACAACCCGACAGACTATGTCACCTTGACTAAGTCTGACGCCCATAGCGGGCTTCTCGTCATCAACGAGCTGCAGCGGTCGCGCGACACCTCCATAATCGGTACTGAGTCTCGAATGTCAGAGTTGCTATGGCACTCGTATATGGAAGACGCTACCAACCAGGGCAAGCCACCGTCCTCGATTCGATGGATTTGGGTTGATACCGTTGTCAACCACGAGACGAAGATCGTGGCCTAGGAGGCCTTTCATCGATCCACCCCTGACAAGAAAGCCCACACTAGAGATGGGATGTAAGGGGCGCGATTAGTTTCAATCATCTTCATGGAGCAGGTTGTATCAGATCACAAACCTTGTGGAAAGAAAAGAGAGCAACGATGCCGTCCCATTCGTTACCTTTATCACCCATACCTAGCCTCTTAGCCTCAACAAGTAATCATCTGTATAGACTTACCCTGGGGGTCAGCTTTCGGTAAAATCAATTATCCGAAACGCCCGTAATGTCAAGGTCAGGTGGTTAGGCTCACACTTCTCTATTTAGCCACGAACCGAACCTAAGTTATTTACCAAAGTGACAGCTATGGAGATTAATCTGCCCGAACCCCCATCAGAAACATACCAGAGTAACCTCGACTGTGATGGTACCCCCTCTGATAATCCCGTGACTAGTTGCGACCCCGCCGAGTCAAACCTATCACCACCAGCCTCCAGCCGTCAGCCATTCTTGAGCGTACGATCATGCGTGACATGTCGTCGTCGGAAGGTCAAATGCGACAAGGCAATCCCGTGCGCCAACTGCGCGAGGCATGGGTCTAAGTGTGTGTTTCCACCTCCTGGTCGAGCCCGGCCGAAACCGCGCGCTCGAGCTGCCGAGCGTATCCTCCAGAGAGGTCCAGGAGGCAGACCCGTATCCGACCAGACAGCGGCCTTCGTTTCAAAAGAATGCCCAACTTTGAGCCAGTCGGATATACAGTTTCGACTCGATGAGGGTGTTGTGGCCAAAGAGCAGTGGATTGATCGATGGTGGTCCATCGGAGAGAGGCTGCCCAAACGACTCTACATGTTCGACGCGAAGCCAGGAGATGATGCTGAAGAAGAGGCCAACTGCGAGTATACTTTACGTCTAGTGGAGCTAAGAGAACTGGTATGCAAAGTCCCCCCAGAAGGCACATTTCCAGTACTAATATTATCAGCAGCTTCACAAGGCCGACGAGGTTATCGCTAGCGACAGGGAAATCACAATTGATTCTGATGCTCGCAATTTAGATCCGGCCAAACGGTTTTTAGATGACTTTATGACTCCTCCCAGTACCCATACTTTGGCTTTTTGCTCTACCTCACCCGACTGGAACCTCGGCAGTCAGCACCCTTCTCCGTCACAGATACCATTTTACTGGCAGACATTTGTTGAAAACGTCAATCCCTTGGTAAAACTCTTCCACATCCCGACGTTGAGCAAGACAATCCGGAGCATTCAAGGTAGGGTCCGTTCGCTCAGCCCACCCGAGGAAGCCTTGATCTTCGCCATCTACTTCGCTGCTGTAGGTTCCATGGCTTTGAAAGAAGTATGTTTACCCCCTGCCATTCTTCTTTCGACATCGACTGATATAGAGCAGGTGCGGGACCTTTTGGGTCAAGAGAAGGAGACCCTGATCAATCAATATCGCTGTGCTACTGAGCAGGCACTTGCAAGAGCAGAGTTCATGACATCTACGGACCTGATGACACTACAAGCCTTTGTGTTGTATATTTATTCTGCAAGGCAATACGTGCAACTACGGTTGACCTTGAATCTCACTGCACTCGCTGTGCGCATAGCCCAAGGCATCGGTGTACATCTGGGTCCCAACTCTCAAGAGTCACCCTTCGACTTGGAGACACGACGAAGACTGTGGCTATGCCTCTGGATCCTAGACTTGAAGACGGCTCTAGATTTGGGTACCAACTGGCTGATAGCTGACGACTGTATCAATGGCGGACTTCCGCAAAATATCAACGACTCTGACCTTGATCCCGCGTCCATGGGGCATCCAACTTCAAGGACAGGCATGACCGACATGACCCATATGCTGGTCAAGTATGAGATTGGCTTGCTCTTGAAGGAGTTGATACGCGGGCAGGGGCAAAAGGGCGCTGAACTCTCCAATGAAGAGGGGATGGAAGAATTGGTGGCAAAGCGCAAAGTGCAGATTCAAGAGCGTTACCTTCAGCACTGCTCAGATAACGGCTTGGAGTGGCTTACGGCCACTAATGCAAAGCTGTTCCTTGCCGCGACATCTCTGCTCATCTACCACCCTGTCTTATCCTCCAAGTTGCGGTTCTCCGTCTCGAATGACGTTCGAGACCATCTAGTAGCAGCGTGTGTTGAGACTATCGAGTGCTTGCACGTGTTGGAGACGATGTCGCCGCCTCATCGCCGAGGCTGGATTTTCGGCACTTATTTACATTGGCATGCAACCGCCTTCATATTGGAAAGCTTGTATCTGAGGCGTTACAAGGCAGACGTTGCTCGACGGTCTTGGAATGCCTTGGGACTCGTATCAAGTCTCTGTACCACAAGCCTTGGAGACCTTAGGACCCGTGGGCCATGGTCTGCACTCGCAAAACTTGTCGAGAGGGGAAAACGAATACACGAGGCCAGCCTAGTCTTGGATGCCCAGGGATCCAATAACAAGAGCCGAGTCGTACCGTCAGCCACCCCCATCGAGGTGGACGTTGAGCTTCCTTACCAAGTCGAGACCGGTTCGAATCTGTCAAATATTAGAGGTTCCATCAGTAGCATGAGACACGAGCTACACTCTATCCCCGATGGCTTCTTGGAAACACCCAACCCCGCAATGTCATTCGAGACATCATCTATCAGACCCAGCTTCCCAGATTTCAACGAGCAGTTTACAACTGGCGGCAGTCACTCAATCAGCGAGTTTACTGATAATCTGCCGATATCAGAAGGTGCCTTTTCAACGAACCCTGTATTCTCAGGATTGTGGCTTACAGAGAACCAACCTGGTCAGGGTACGTCCTGGGATGCGAGCCAGGCGCTAACCGAAGCATCAGTTGATAACGCAACGGAATACTGGGCAGTGTGGGATAGCTTGAATGATGACATTGAGATGTGACATGACCTATGACTCGTCTGGCGTCACAGAAGGATTCTAGCATGGATGTAAGAGGGTCTATCAAATGTGTTTTTTGTTATAGTTGAAGCCCGGGATAGCTTTGAAAGGACGTATTTGGCAGGGTAAGTGACAATTCGTGGAGTATTATTGGGAACATATATTTTCTTTGTATGTACAATCTTCGTTCTCTGTGCTCTTCGGCAACTCGTTACCAGATTCAAAAAGAACCCTACCACACTATTGATCATCTCCAAGCCAGCACCTTACGCAGTTCTCTTCAAGTGTCTCTTGGCAATCTTGTCGACCAACTCTCAAATCGGGTGATGGTTCGGAAAAGACAGAGTCCGTGACAGACATAGTTTGTCCCTTGACCATTGGAGCAGTAGCCAGTACATACCAAGCTAACTTGGTGTTGGTGTCGATGATGGGGCAGACACACTGCACCGCACATGCATGGCACTGATACCTTCGAGGTGATGTGGGAAGACGCTCTCAGACCTTTACCTCTGGGGGCCGATTGTGGCCTGTGTGCAAGTGTACGTTGAAAAAGAGTTCCTTTGTATTCCAAACAGACGGAGCGTGACTGAAGACCGACCACACTCATTGTCGAATTCGGTCGCCCCCAGCCGGGCCGTTACCTCCAGCAGCCTTTGCGATAGCCTCGGCATTTTTCTGATATTTGTAGACAGTCCAATCAAAGACGTAATCGTATTGAAAGCCCTCTCGGACAAAGAGATCCCGGAAGATCTTTCGCAGATAGCTATAATCAGGCTTGTCGTCGAAACGAAGAGACCGGCAGTAATTGAGATAGATGGCGAATTCATTGGGCAGGCCACGACACAGGACTTCGGTTGGCGTCGTCATCTTCTTCTCCATGATGCGATCATACTTTTGCTTTTTGGTTGCTGCCTTTAAACCTTGCCAAGGCAGGGAGCCGCGAGTAAAGTACAGAATGATGTAACCGAGAGATTCCATATCATCCCTCCGTGACTGTTCAACGCCGAGATGGGTGTTGATGGATGCATAGCGCGCGGTCCCGGTGAGGTTTTTATTCTCGCGGTATGGGATATGGAAATGGGTTTTTGGGTCGCGATACTTCTTGGCTAAGCCAAAGTCGATGGCGTTGACCTGATTTCCTCGCTTGCCGATGCCCATCAGAAAGTTATCTGGTTTGATGTCCCGATGAATGAAGGACTTGGCATGGATATATTCGACCCGAGAAATCAACTGATCGACAAGGAGAAGAACGGTTTTGAGTGAAAACTTGCGGTTGCAAAAGTTGAAGAGATCTTCCAAACTCGGTCCGAGAAGGTCGTAGACCATGGCATTATAGTCGCTTTCGGTGCCATACCATCGCACAAATGGTATTCCCACACCGCCGGCAAGTGACTTGTAAACACGTGCCTCGTATTCGAGCTGTGGGTGTTTGGCCTTGACGCTTTCGAGCTTGATTGCGATCTCCTCGCCTGAGATGATGTTGGTGCCGAGATATACATCGCCGAAAGATCCGCCACCGATCTTGCGGCCGATGCGATATTTGTTGCCGACGCGTAGATCCTGTGGAATGGTCAGTCGATGCGATGCAGATGAAAGTACGGCATGCGAAAGCTCATCGGCATAGAGACAAGGCCCCAAGATGGGTTTAGATGAGAGAAGATCAAGGCGATACATACCACAGTCGACATTGTACCGAGAGTTGGGCTTCTTCCTTGGCTGAAGAGTAGCTCTGCTATCCTTGGGTTGTCTTGTCTTGTCTTGTCGCGTCTCGTCTCGTCTTACGACAGGTAGAGGAACGGCCGCCTTGAAGCCAAACCTAGCAAAGACAGGAAAGGGTAGGCACGGTGCGATGCCATAGAGCATAAACATAGGACCCGTCGCAAGTAGGCGGTTTATGTAGTGCCAGAATGTCGCAGGGTTTGGGTTTTGACAGAGCGTTTCCTCGGTGCTCGCCCCGCTCGGTGCTCGGCCTTCGGCTTTGGACAGGGGTCAGAGGTTGGTGAGAGGCTCCGAGTCTTGATGACCGAGGTCACATGACCGTGGCAAGGTTCACAGAACCAGGGATCTGTCATCAACAAGGAAGCCATGGACTTTGTGCTGGATGCTTATCGTCCGGATATAATGTCGGCCGCCTTCTCCCCCTTTCAGTCTGAACCTCCACACCCGGGCATGCATCCTGTCCACATTCACGTCCCCGCTCAGGGACGATGGAATCATCTATGAGAAAGCACTGCGTGCTCACGGGGTCAAGACGAGACTGGACGTGTACCCTGGCCTTCCCCACGCGTTTGACGGCATGTTTCGGGAACTCGAGATCTCGCGAAAGTGCATGTCAGATACCTTGATGGGGATTGGCTGGCTCATGGGCAAGGAGGTTGATAGCAAACTGTGTGAGGATGTGGTGGAAGAGTCGTATATCGCTACGCCTTCTGTCTGGCCGATTCGAGATGGAGGATAGGCTCATTACACATGCTCAATAGTTCTAAGAAATAGGAGATATTTCATCGTGTCACATAGCATTTGTGTGACTAGACTACCTACTATAGATGTGCTATATCAAACTCCCGCCTTCATCTCATAGCGGATACAACCATAGTCCACCGCTCCTCCCACGCCCTCATTATCATCTATTGTTCGTTAGCACTACGAAAATCATCTTTAACCGACACAACCCGATATGGTAAGGTACTCACTGCAATACTTCCAGAGGTCAGAGAAAACAAGTCGGCAGTCGGGTGAGTACTTGTGGTAGAATGCCTCCGGGTGCCAGAGCTTCTGCTTGTTGTCGGGTAAAACTCTGCAGCCCTCGATCCAGGAGATGGAGTAACGAAACCCAACACCGTGCTCCTTCTCCCACTGGTCAAACATGCCTATCTTCTTGGACTCGTCTGTGTCCCACTCGGCAGGGGCAATGTCTCGGTGGCAGGCAGACCAGGCTGAATCCCATACCGACGACTCGCTCACGTCAATGTGGCCGATAAAGTCAGCCGGGTTGTTGCACTTGAAGTTGCTAGCCTGCGGCGGGACCGGCGTAGCATCCGTCTTGGAGGGCTCGGCGGGCTTGGATGAAGTAGACGTAGGCTTGGTAAAGGGCTTGATCTTGTATGAGTACGTGCCGCACTCGGCGTCGATCTTGCCCTTCTCCGGGACCCTGAATGGGTCGCTGATGGCACATTGTCCAATAATCTCGGCCATGGCTCCATTGCAGTTGTCAAGACACTGTCCGCCGCCTGAGCCCGTCCATACAAACTCAAAGGCCCATCCGTCACACTCGACGTCCCGTCGGACGATAGACCTCTTCTGCTCTTCCCTGCCGCCGCTAGGGATCTCAATAGAGAGCTCTTTGTCCTTATCCTTGTTCACCTCGCTGCAAAAGTCGACAACGGTCCGCACAAGGCACATGGAGTCTATTTGGGCTTCGTCGCCCTCGCACTCGGCCTCGACATTGCCAATGGAATCAAACGAGATTCCGAGTTCGTCGTACCATGCCTCAAAAAAGTCGAGTGACGATTGATCAGGATCCCCAGACTCGGCAGGCCACTCTTCCTCGGGATCGCCAAACTCATTGTCGGCTTGGCCTTGTACGTCGACAACAGTCGTTGTGGTGCTCTGCTCGCCTGTCGCGCAAGACGTGGCGTACGAGCATTCACCATAGACGGTGGAACTGTATCCCGACCCAACCGAGATGAACGACACGGTCCGAGTACACTCTGGCGGTTTCGTGAGAGTGCATCTAGAAGACTTGGCTGTTGAAGGATCCGGCTTGTCAGGGCCGGGCGTGGGGGGGCCAGGCGGAGGAGGTGGTGGGTTCGGGTCTGGGATGCCGAACGGGATCCAAGACCAACCTCCTGGGAAGATGATGATGATGAGGCCGTCATCCCTAGTAGTCGTCCTTGTCTCGGTAGCAGTTTCGTACTCGGTATACCTAGTTGGACTGTAGGTGATGACCCCACTGTCCGTTCCAGTTACGGTAACAAGGCCCGGCCCTTCAGAGCTTGTCGTCTTTGGCGGGTCGGAGGGGGATGGGGGTTGAACCGGCGGGTCGACGGAGCCTGATGGCAGAGGCGGGATTGTTGGGGGAGCATCTGGACTTGATGATTTTGGAGGAAGGAGAGGAGTTTGGGGAGTGTCAGAGTCCGAGGCACTGATAGTTGGAGGAATTGGAGGCTCCTTGAGGGGTGATAAGCCGGCACCTGGAAGGTGGCTCGGCAGTTTATCAGAGCCAGAGTGGACAACTAGATAACAGAACGAAACATGAGTAAACTAGAAGAGGGAGTCTTCAAGATTAACCACTTGAACTGGCCATCCTCGGCCAGCAATTGCAACGCCAGCAACCTTGACCGCGTGAAGGTATCACCAATCAAGAAATACCGCGCGCGCAGCTAACTCGACAACGCCCAACCCTCAGGTCATCAGACTGTTGCATCTTTAATTTACAAAAAGTTCCTCAAAGGGCTCTGGAGGTAATTGGTGACCACGGAGCCAAAAGACTTTTTGTCAGCTTTGTTCTCCCCATGTGGAAACATCTCGCGCACGACCCTTGCATCTTGGGCACGAAAGTTCCATCTCTTGTCGCGCATATATGCCCTGACTAGGAGCTCAGGGTTTGTTCCGGGCAGTGTCACCGGACAAGGTGGCTGTGTATATTTGCGTGTTTGACACAACAACACGCCATGATGTCTGAATGCCGGATTTCAATCTATCCTTCTTCTCTGGACCCCCTGTCCTTGCCGTCGCTTACGGTGGCAGTGGGTCATGTCACTGCAGGGAACACCTCCCCGTCTGTGACTTCATGTTCCGGACGTCAGTCTTTCAGTATGCGTCCCTATATAATACCAAGCTGGTTGTTTCCTTCATCTATCTGCACTTCTCCATCTTGTCTTCCTCAAACACAGCCCTTGCATTTCACTCTTTGACTGGCATATGCACATACTTTCTTGCTCAGTTCCTCCAGTCACCCGTTCTGCAAGATGCGTCCGCAGGGTCTAGCCGGGCTCATCGCCGGCCTCTTGACAGGACTTGGCCATGCTGAAGACCCCCCAACCACAACCCCAACTCAAACTCCGCCGCCAGACCTGGGCATCTGGAAGCTCGATGTCAGCTGTGCGCCATACTACACCGACATCGAGAGGGCCTACGGTGACGTGAGTAAAATGGTAGCCAAGACTGTCAAGGATCTTGAGATTGTTCTGGAAAAGCGCCCTGGTAAAAAACCCATCAAGAACCAGAAGACATGGGATCGCATTGGTAGAGCCATGGGTCCCATGTTTGGATTCGTCCCCGATCCCAACAAGGTTGAGACCTTTCAGGACAACTACTGGAAGGACCTTTGGTGTAAGTCGAGCAGTCAACTGCACTCCATGGCCACCTCGAGCACTTGACTGACGGCCGGTCTGCTAGACGTCTATGACCGAATGAACAGGGCTTTCCAGGGGGATCAGACTTTGAAGGTCGGTTATGGCAGTAGACAGCCTACCATCCTGTGCAGCGATGATCGGTGGGAGTGGAAAGACATAGACGCCGAGGATCCCTTACTCCCAGGCACGGGAAAGAAGCTGAAGGACCGGCCCGAGTCAACATCCCAGGGAGTGCAGTGGGCCGGGGCCTATTACTGGGATGGGCGACTGTGGTGGCGCAGCGGACCACGAAACATTCCTTCAGCCTGTACACCAGACACTATGGGATACACTAAGACCAACTTGGACATGATACAGCTTTGCGATGAAATTCTCAAGGACGGCAAGGCTATGAAGGGATCCGCAGTCCTGGCATCTGGCTCACTCATAGGCCAGAAGCTGGACCAGTGGAGCCACACCCTGCCCAACATTCTCTTCCACGAGTTTTCTCACTGGTTTGGAGCCGATGGGAGAGGTCTGGCAACCAACAGACACAGTGAGTTGCCCCCCCTTGCTTCCCTGATATATACAGCTGACCTGTTCAAAAGTCCTTGACCAAAATGCCGTCGACAAGGACGGCAGGTGGCTTTACAGGGACGCAAGTGGTACATATTCATCACACAAACACTTATTGAGCAAGGCGGAGCGTGACAACCAAGGGTTGACGAGGGTTACTACCTGTGAGTTGAAACTCAACCGCCACCACCATCCAGGGAGGGATTTGCAACTTACATGACGGATAGACAAATTTAATAACATCCTCAACCTCGCTACAAACTTCAATTCCAAGAAGGCTGCCCAGAGGGCCGGGCCAGACAAGTGCCTCTTCAACGCCGACTCGTACAACGTTTTCGGCACAATGATGTAAGCACGACTTCTTCTCTTATTCTCCCTGCTCCTCTTTCCAACAACTAATGCCCTTTCCGCAGGTATCTAGACGACTACGATTGGTCTACTGGGAAGGCAGAATCTATTGAAAAGCATAACAAACCTCCTGCAGTTCCGACATCGACTGCAACTAAGATACCGTAGAAACTCAAAAAAGATTGAGACTCTTGGCAAAGGGGACATAGCCAGATTCATGCCTGGCCAATGACTGCTCTGGATTCAAGAAGGGCATAAAGGCTGCCTCTGTCTGTATACTCTCTATGGTTGGTTTCTTTTGGGGCACTAGGCCTATTAACGTGCATAGCGGAGTAAAAGTCCACGTTGCCAAGAGTCTTAATCTTTCAAGTTTCTACGGTACAGGCTTTTGATATTAGTAGTGTACTCAGGTGCTAGGTTAAGAGTGTCATGTGATGCTGCCAGAGCCGGGACTACAAGGATTATGTGTTCATACAACCGTGTCAACGACAGCTATTCGTGTGCCAACTGTGAGGCTTTGGCCATTCTCAAGATGTTGTTTGAGACTGGTATCATCATTACTAACCAGCTGGCCACAACGTTGGGGGAGGATCGGTGGGGCCTATCGGAAGCCTCATCCCCGACTCGATGGGTTGGCAGCCGCTATTCTGGTGTCCGTCCTTGGAGCTCTTACTTGTAATCCTGGTTATGATACCATATCGCGACCTGTGTCATGCGCAGGAACAAAAACACCTGGCTCAGGTCAAAAGCCGGCGCGGCGTGTTGGATCACGTCCACATCATAATCGATTCCAACGTTGGGCACCTCAACTTCCAAGAGCCATAGACAAGGAGCAGGGTGGAGCAAAACATCGATGATGGCGTAGATGATGTACTCAATGTTTGAGGGAAAGACGCGTCTGTTTGCCCACCAGAAGACGCTTGTTAGAATGTTAGCTTTGCTCACAAGATGGATAGGAGGAGTGAACTCACGCCGTGCGTATGCCATACAGTGCACACACATATGCAGCCAAGGAAAAGAAGAATCTGCGCGCCTCGGCGTTTCTGTGCGTCATCATCTGGTAGGTGCTCCGAACAATGAAGAAGGCCGCTGTTGCGTACGGCCAGAACTTGAGGACAAGATTCCATTCGTCCGAGTCCGATGATCTGTCGTTGTTCAGGATAGTCATGATGCTGTATGCAGCTGAGCCGCTGGAGAGCGAGCCTACAGCCTGAGTGACAAACTGGCATATCCAGAGCATCAGGAGAAGAACCCACTCGGGTTGATCAAGGCCGGCGGACTGGCGACAGGTTTTGAGATTGGTCCCGCCTTCAAGAGAACCTGGTTGCCAATCATCTGGCTCATCTGTGGCATTGGGATTCGCGAGATGGTATTCTTTGCATGTGTGTTCTCCCGTGTAACCCAAAGCAAGAAGTAGGTAGCAGATGGCCGAAGTGAGCGTGGCGATGAAAGGGAAAATGTGGAAGCGGCGTTTGCTCCTCTTGCTCCAGGGGATTTTGTTGAAAGATATAAGGGCAGCTGTCGCCATTATAGCGAATGCAGTCCATTCAGCAGCCTCCCTAGCTGTTCCATCGTTCAATCGTGTCGTTATGGCTGAGAACCAGCCGTTTTGGCGTTTGGCTTGATCCTCATCTAGAGCGATGATGATGTGCTCTCGAAGCTCGTCTACATTGAATTCGGACATTGTAATAGATGTTATTTGAGAATGACTGGACAGAATAACCGGGCTTATAATGAAAACTGATGCTGTCACTGTTACTGACGATGGTGTTGAGCTGGAGGATGAATGGATAACAGGCGATTCTCGGCATCTTATGTTCAGGCTGTGTGGCGGAAAAAGGCCCGGGCCGGTATTGTCTAGTCCAAGTCCGCCCAACTCAGCCCCATCCTCATTGCCGTTCTTGCCGGGTATCCAATCCTATCTCATGCCTTTGGACCAGGTCGCAAGAGACCTAAAGCCAGTTGGTTTGGCAAGTTAATGGCCGATACACACAAGATTCGTCTGAGAGCAAGGTATCGGCGTACTATTTAGATGACTTTTTTGCGGTGAAACTTTGTGACCTGTTCAAGGGCCAACGCCAAGTTGTCGCGAGGCTTGGCCCTCCTCAAATCTCGACGGCTAAGACCATCAGGGTCAGAGCCCAGCAGGCCCCAGAAGGCTATGCTGGCGCTAGGGCGTGGCGGTGATGTGTGTTGGTTCTGCCATTACCCGTTGGAGGTATGCAGCCCGAGATTGTAAGCCTAGCCTACTCCAGGGGGGAACCAGCACATAGGCTTTCGACAATAAACCCAAGTTTCCTTATTTTGGATAACTCTCTCTAGAAGCTTAGTGACCAAAAAACACGAAAATGTCATCTTTTTTAATATGAGAAACTTGATATAAGTACGCCATGTTCCACCTAAATAGGTATCCAAAAAGATTCTGTTTGGGCGGCCCTCCGACTCGTCCTACCATACTCCTTGGCCTTAGATGGAGCAGCGGCCTTGTTGGTACCTGCTATCGCCGCCTAACGCCCACCAGCCCTTGACGCGCCCCCTCTACACCATACCGGAACGCGTCAAATTCGTTGTGAGCAAGACATGGCACCAGCGAGTCAATCGAGCCCCAGCGACGATGGCGCGATTGATCTTCAGTCCCATGTAACCCCCAAACGACTGCGGCGCAACCAGAGCATGATAAGAGGGTTTGGCATTGACAGTGATGTGCCCTTCCCAATATTCGAGCACAATTCCTGAAGGAGCTCTTCTATCAGTTCGACCAAGAATTAGCACTTCAAATACCTTGGAGTGGCATCACTAGAGATCTATAGAAGACCTTCGAGTCTAAGGCGGATATCATCAAGGCGGAGCTGGGCAGCGCCCCAACGACAATACACATCAGCTTTGATCTCGAAACATGACCGAATCGTCTTGCGATAATAGTAGTTTTTGCATCTTCATCGACAAATCCGGGAACCAGCAATCCAGGCTGTTCGCTCTACGCCGTCAGCTAGGTGTATTCACAGTGGTGGAGAATCTTGCCGAGACACTGTTCGAATCGTTCAACTATGGGATATCAGAGGACAGGTTGGCACTGTCATCTCTGACAACGTGACCGCGAACGATATCTGTCTCTCTTACTTCTACCGGCAGATCGACCCTTCGACCCAGCCTGCTGATATCAAGGCCCGTCGCATACGTTTGAACATTGGATACAAAATGTGCATCTCCCAAACTATCACGGTTTACTCCCGTCTCTCTGTATTTATAGTGAGGCGTTTTCGGGTTCAGGGGGCTCCAGATCAGGGTACCGGGTGGTGTGGGCGAATTCAGTTGTCTTTTCCCTGTAGACGCAGTGGCGGTTGACATTGCTGTTAACTTGCAGCGTGAAAAGATCTGTCCTGGAATACTGGCCAACAGGATCGACAATATTCTTTGCCAGGTAGATTTCGTTAAAGTCCAACTCGGCATAGATGAGACCTTCGAAGGAGGGACTGGGAGCCTTGGCAATTGTGCGGCCGTCGGGGGCGATGACCTCGGTGAATCCGCCGCCCGTGACAGCGGTGTGACATTCGTCGTCAGGTAGCTCGACACCGCCCTCGTGTACTGTCTGCCCCTCCTCGATGAGACCGTTGGCAATTAGACCTTTTTCAGATTGGGTGTGGGAAGCAAGGAGGACGAAGGCGCCACCCTCGATGGCGTAGGTGTGAGTAGCCATGGTGCAGGCCTCAACCGAGTTGAAGAAGGGCATCTTTCCAACGAGAGGGAATAGATTCGGCCATGATGCAACATGGATCTGCTCCTGCTGAAAGTAGCTATGGTACTTGAGAAGTGGCTGGAGGTGTTCAAAGCACTGCAGCCCACCGACGCGACCGAGGGGTGTCTGAATCACATTGGTGGTGCAGTCACCAGACTGTGGATAATGTTGTCAGCGAAAGGCCAATGTTTCCGGCATAATAATAGAAACATATGGGGGTTTCATACAGCGTCGCCAAAGAGGATGCGTTCATAGCTCGTAGGCTTAAACTTGCGGCGGTGCAGCAGGATCTGGCCATCGGGTCCAATAAAGCTTTGAGCCATGTATAGGCTGCCCTTTTCGCGCTCCGCAATACCCAACACGACGACAGTCATCTTCGCACGGCGTGCGGCAAGGCGGATCTGTCCCATGTGCTTGGAATCGACGCTTACGGAGTTGCGAAAGTACTTCCTTATGTATTCATTGCACGTCTTTTGCGCGTGAGCGTAAATGAAGTTCGGATAGCCGGGAATCCAGAGCTCGGGAAAGGCGACCAGCTCAGCGCCGTTGGCACCGGCCTCGGCTATGAGAGCACAGGTCTTCTCAACAGCCGCCTCGACATTGAACCTGCAACTCGGTTGATGGTAGGCTATATCCTGCATCAGAATCAGACCTTGCATCATGAACGCACCAGCAGGGCTCTGCCTGAACAACTGCCACCTTGATGGGGTGGTTAGGATCATTGTCGACAACAGACTCGGCCATGTTCGATCTCAAGGTGTCTAAACTGCACAGTAATGGGGTGAAAAAGAATAGCTGAGTCGATGGAAGATTAGATAGATAATATCGTTGGGTCATGTAAAGTAAACGATGCCTCGGCGATGCTTTGCAACACTTTATACCGAGCGACAGATTCTAATGCTGGAACCTGCCGCTGTAGTTTCCAGTTCCCGTCCAGCTGGAACGATAACAGGCGGATTTACACTGGACACCGCTTCCCCTTTCTCAATACTGCGCTCGCAACGTCCAGTAGCTCATGCTCCTTTCCTATTGGGGAGTTGAGTTGATCTTCCGTAAATCAAATTCCGGAGGTTATCGGTGGGGCCCTTTAGGGGCTGCGATAACGAAGGTGATTAGATTTCCCACATTAGTTGGTCATTCCGATTGGCCCTCATCAGCTCTTGGATGCCAAGTTAGTTATCTCTTATCCTCTCTTATCCCATGTTAGCGGCTGGTCACTGTGTAGATACGCAAGCTCGGCTTCGAAACTGGACAACGGTGGCGTTCATGTTACGCATCAAGCCTTGGTACATGAGACGAGTATTCTACAAACCTCCCCGCCTCAAGTATTAAAGGTGTGGCAGTTACTGACCAAAATGAACATCAGCCAACCCGCTACTACTTTCCTCAGCATCTCCTTTTCTGCTGACGATACCTCACCATGGACGACTTCACCTCAATCAAGGAAGCAAAGGCAGATGCACGCGTTGAGCCTGCTTCCTCTTCCGACATTGACGTTGGACAATCCACTCCAACGCTGCACGCATCAGCTCCTCCGTCATGGGCTCGATACCTCCCCGGCCCGTCCCCGACATACCGGTTCAAAGGGCTGTCCAGGTCCCTGTCTCGCATCGGGGTGACCGCTTGCGGTTGCATGATCTTTCTCCTGTCCGGCTATAGTTAGTGCCTTTATTGTGTCTATTGACCCTCCACCAGTCTTGAACTGCCGCTGACAGCAACTTGCCGTAGATGTCGCCCTCATGGGTGGTGTTTCATCTTTGCCGCAATACCTCCAAGTTGTTGGCCTCACGGACGGATCTCGCAAAACTGAGCTTCTCATTGGCACAATCAATGCCATGTACTGGATTGGAGTCATCTTCGGCGCTCTCGGCGTGGGATGGCTTTCAGATACCATTGGCCGGCGCCGCGCTCTTGTGGTTTGCCTCCTGTATGCCACTATCATCATTCCCATCTTTGCATCTCTGCAGGGCTTTGCCTGGGGTCTCGCGCTTAGACTGCTGAACGGTGTTGCTGTCGGCGCCATCGACTCAGTCGGCCTTAACTGGACTGCCGAAACAGCTGATCATAAGCGCCGTGGTCTAGCCATTGGCACCGAGCTTGTCTTTGCCCCTACCGCTGCGAGTATTGCCTTTTTCATGGTGTATGCTCTGCCTCAGCACTCGAGCTCCGACTTCGTCTGGCGCTTTCCCTTGGCCTTCCAGCTGATCTTCGTGGCCATGATCTCCTGTGCTGTCTGCTTCCTTCCCGAGTCACCCCGTTGGCTTGTCAAAGCTGGTTACATAGAAGCGGCACGGGACGTCCTTATTTCTCTCAAACCTGGAGCACGTTTACTGCGAAAGACCAGCTGCACACCCACCGTCGCAGTCTGTCAGCCTTTTTCGTCCAATTCTCGACTCAGATCATGGTTGGTGTCGGCTTGGTGTCAGCCTATGGCATCCTGCTGTTCGAGACTGGCGGCTTTGCTCCAGATCTGGCAGCGTTGCTCACTGGTGGTGCCATTGCCACACAGGCTCTCTTTGGCATCCCCGGGGCGTTTCTCGCCGACAAGATGGGCCGCCGCCGTGCCATGTGGGTGGGAGCCTTGATCAGTGCCGTCATCCTTCTACTGATCGGAGTTTGTGGCTATTTCGTGGACAAGCACGCCGAGATGAACCCTGACCTCGCAAAGACGTACGGACTGGTTATCATCTGTCTGGTATATATCTACTGCGTCTCTTTTGGCTTCACCTGGCGTAAGTACCTCCGTCTTTCAGTACCCCACTCCCTTTCTCGTGTCCCGGAACTTGATACTGACTTGCTTGTTGGGTATGACAGTTTGGGTGCCCTTCACCTACCCCTCCGAGATCTTCCCGGCACGGTCCCGCACACGCGGGAGTTCAATTGGTATTGCCGGGTTCGCGACATCATCGTTCCTAGTCAACATGATTGGCCCGACCATGTTCTCTGCAATAGGTTATGGGTCGTTGTTCTTGATCTGTGGTTTGGCTTTCATTGTCACATTTGTGACATTCTTCTTCATGCCAGAAACCGCAGGGAAAACACTGGAGGAGATTGATGGCTTGTTTGATTAACAAGTCGGCCAAGTGTGCTCTACCTTGAGTGCCTATGAAGGAGTTGTTGGGTGGGAGTCGAGTAGGTAGTTGAGCTGAATACGTACAGATACAGCATCAGTCGCCCATGCTAGCTGCCCAGAATGTGGCTGAGTTCACGGGAGAGATGCCCCATGCAAAGGCAATCTTCTTGATGTTGTCATGGACCTTTCGAGCGTATCCCGACCACGGCATGATCCACCTTAATGTGTCAATGATGATCTTGAAGCCACGGATGGAGCTATGGTAGCTTGCAAGGTGGGGATGCTCGAGAAGGACGAGATGAACCAGTGCACCAGTGAAAGCCGAGTGAATGACCATGAAGTCCATCACTCTGTTATCGAAATGCTGCCTGTATTTCTTCAACAGCGACGATATGGATTTTGCCGACTCTCGGCAGTAGTAATGCGATGTACTCGCCGCGGTGCCGCCAGCCTTGAGTGACGGCCGGTGGAGTTGGATCAGTCCGCTGTGGAAACAAAGGCTAAACGGATTGGTAAGTCTGCTTAAATGGTAGGGAACTGGGCTCTGCTTGAATTCTTACTGGAAAGAGAGGAAACTCGGATGAAAGTCCTGGCCTTTGGATACTTGGCGCATCGATTGAGGCAGGGAGTTAAACCAAGTCATAAAGGTTACGTGTCCCTTGGATATGGCATCATCTTTTGATAAAGGATTCGAAAAGGAGTAGCTAGAAACGTCAGCATCAGGTTCCAAGTTGAGAGAGGGTACCCAAACATTTCCGCAAGACAGGCATCTTGAAGATTGGCAAACTCGATATGGCAGGCATACACCAATTCTAGAGAAAGCTCTCTCTCCATGAAGGGGATCCCTGGATCGTTCTTCAAGTCCTCCAATAGGCTTGTTTCCGAGATATCGATTCTTGTAATGAATGTTGCTCGCCCCTCGAGTATTGCCAGACGTCTTCATTTATGTTAGCAGGCTAGAAACTCAGCTTTTCCTCACCGCATAGTGCCGTGGACCGTTATGATGGTCAGGGACTGTACCTATCCATCCAAAGGCAAGCATGGAATAGTGCTCGCCGTGCTCGTTCCCCTTCCGTTCCCATGGCCAACCGATCATCCAAATGCAGTCTCGAGGTTCGCACGTGGAGACCGATCCTTTTAGCCATGCCACACGCAATGCCTATTTGCTGCTTAGTGATCTTTGATCAGCCAAGCTCAGTGCGGGTGCTGACCTACCAGTAAAAATGGTTGCCGACTCAATTTTTCCTTGAAAGGTTGCAAGATATCCTCGAAGAAGGAATGCGCGGATGTTGGAGAGGCAGACGTGGTCGACTTCACGACCAAGCAGAGACGTGAAGTGTTCCAGGTAGTACTGTAGAGCAAAACAGGTCTTGTCCTCAGAACTTAGCATTGCCCCCGCCTCTTGGAAGAGATAGCCCAGAGACAAGGCCATGCAGGTGACCATATTGAGCCCATCATTCCTTCCAACGGCGGTTGGTATTGGCCCCAGGCCGAAGACAGGCAAATGGCAATGAACGCTGGTCCAGAAAGAAGCAAGAGCAGCTTCATCCTGTTTTATCGGAAGACGCGTCAAGGACACCACCGGAATATCTTCAAGCCCCCACATCTGCGTACAAGAGGCTGACCATGTGCCGCAGAACAGAACATACGGATTGCCAAGCCGGATTTACAGGCAAAGGCTTGTCGTCAATAGGAGAATTTCCTATTGTCCACGCCACGTTCAATTTGGGCAGCCGCCAGTCCTAACGACGAAACCTAATAAGTGATGAACTTATTGAACACTCAGCTAAGAACCGCATCCGTAGCCGATGTGACACCTCACCTCACCGGAACAATAGGCAGAAGGACCTGTCATTGACACACTGAAACAACTTTGCTTCTAGTTGTAGTTTCAACTCCTCTATTGACCAGACGCTCAAGCTTTGCACAATATTGCCTTGCATCAGTGATTCTTCTCTGGCCAAGGTCTTGCATGAACCGCATTCCCCGCCTGTCAGCCCTACGTGCTACGCTAATGCAAGCACTCAAAGAAACGTGGGGTAATAATGCACACACTCACATGAAGCACCTCAATAATTATTGACGTGTATTAAAAGCTTCACCTACGCTTTGTCGACAATAGGATGCAACCTACAACTGCTGAGACTCACCGCCATTTGTGAGTCATGGTGGTATGGATGTCTCAGGCTGCAAATGCCGTTGGGCTTTCCACCTCAAAGACATGCTTCGCCTCCCTTTCCCGATCTTTTCCCTCCCTCGCCTTGGCATCTCCCTCAGTCCCCTTCACCGTGGTCCTTTACTTTGATCTCATACTCCTCTCTTCTTCCTTGCAAAACCCTACCACAATGTGTCGCTCCAACACCCAACATGAGTGCGAGGGCGTCCCTGTCATCCCTTCGCAAAGGACTATACACCCGTTTCGACTAGAGATGCCCCAACGCGAAGCTTCAGATGCTACGCCACATGGCATTACATGAGTTAAACAAACGCTCATGTACCCAGGTCAGTTTGTCGCCGGTCCACAAACTTACGAGACAAGAATGGCTAATATTTTGAATGCAGAAAGAATTCCCCAGTTTACTCCAAGCCATCAACTGTTACTTTCCAGATTCTGATTACCCCACCCACGTGTACCCTCGTGTGCAGGCTCAAATGGTCTGTCTATTTGATTGTCTTGTCGCCCGCGGTGTAGTCAAGTCCATTCGGCTTGACTCTGGTGGGTGGACTGCCAAATGGCCTTCTTGGACAAAGAATTGGCTGGAACTTGATTGGGATGGCGATGTCACGCTTACAGTCATCCCAAAAACCAATGAAACTAACAAGCAATCTCCTGGCCTCAATTCATTTCAGGCAGTTATCGAAGCCCTTCCTGCTCCGCCGCTTCGCCTCCCCCCTAAAACTCATGAGGTTCGCACTCCAGAGCAATCCACGGTCCTTCATCTCTGTGCTCATACATCCCAGTTGCAACCTGGTCAATGAGTCCAGAGATGTGGATATGCCAGATGCTCCAGAAGTCATGACCATTGATGACATCCCCAGACAGACTTTCAGCCATGTTCCAGGCTTCAATCTGAATATGGTTGACCAATCTCAAGGCTCCATCACCTCCTTCAATCCCTCCATCATCAATTACTCTGGTCCTGTCCCCCACTCTTCATCTCGCAGTGTCATTCCATCATCCACGTCATTTAATCTGATATTCACTAGGTTTCCCTAAACCACTGTGAGCTCATGCACATCGTTCAATCCGCTTTTCGTCCCTGCCGGCCTTAATGAGTCTCGTTTCGCTTCGGTCAGTGTCGCCGAAGGACCGACGTTCCAGCCAGGTTACTCTCAGGCTCAGCAGCTACCATCGTGCCAGTTCTCATCATCTCAACAATTGAACGACAACTTTCATCCAGCATTTCGGCTAGCTAATGCCCAGACCTTGCCTAGGGATTATGCTACGGCTCCCTTGGTGTCTCAAGCAATGCTGCCAACCTCGTGTTCAGGAGTGTCGACAGGCAGTATTAGCCACATAGTACCGCCCCGTGTTCAAAATTGCTCAGTACAGACCCCAATACTTCAAGACACGATTCAGCAGTCTGCCTTGGTTCAACTGCCGCCAGCCCACCCGCTCATTCCGGCCCAGCAGCAATACGTCGCTCACCCACCACAGCTTCCACCTCAGCAACACGTCCTCCCTCAGCAGCTGACTCAACAACTGACTCAAAAACAGCTTGCTCAACAACAGACGCCTGGTTCTCTGACAGACACGCCCTCGCTGACCTCGTGGAATCCCACCATCATTTGCTTCAAGGAACCTGAGTGGTCAAATACTCAAACAGTCATTGCCGGCTCCGCAGGCGATGGTTCATACTGTCCAACAGCTTTGAGCAATGGTAACGACTGTCATCATACTGCCCTAGCATCGCTCATAAATCTCGCCAAGTCGCGCCGGCTGTCCGCCTCACTCAGATCACCGAAGTGGAGGAGTCCCCCCAGGAACCTGTCCATGAGCAGGCGCTGATACCAACAACGCCTCTTCATATTTACCGACCCCTAACTCCGGCGGCTACCCCTGCGCCTCCCTCACGAGCCGATCGAGTAGAAACGTGGCGACGGGAAGTCACCCCCCTTCGGCTGTTCGACCCTGTGAAAGCCAAGCCTAAGTTCTATGTTCTGATATCCTCGGCCAAGGATATCAAGACTCAAATCAAAGAGGCGCACGGGCCGGCGATGTTGGTGAATCTGAATCAGGCGATCTTGGCGATTCAGGAGATGCGACGAAAGGTTAACAGGGACTTGTCGCCCACGTTCTACTCAGTACTGGCCAATACTCTTGTCAAGCCGGCTATTGGTGAAGCCAGTATCCTGAAAGGAAAGCTGGACAGAGTCCAGAGTGAAATTCTGGCAGAAAAAGGCAGACTGGTTAGCGAAAGTCTTGGGGAGGGGAAGTGGCATGGTCGCCATTATGACGGGGCAAGTTCTGTTGATGTGAGACGAGAGGCGAGAAAGAATTGTTCCTTTGCTTCGCTATTACGATGATGATGCAGACACTCATTTGGAAATGATGGTATACGTAGAACATTTCATCCATAATTGCATGTCTTCTAAGTCGATGGTCAGTGATGGCCGTTTTATTCCTTCAATGGGTTCAGTATAGTCTGATCGCGAGCGCTGTGATACCGTGACCGTCTTTTCGAAATGGCAATGATCAACCCTCCGTCATTGTTCTAGAAGCGAGATAACTTCTGTACACATCAGCCAGATGGTGGCCTACGGTGTCCTTCAGCTTAGATTGCGGATATAGGACAAAATCTTTGTCTGCACATTTCAAGTTAATGTTGAAGCGCTTTATTATGTAAGGTTTTTTAATATCGTCATGTATTGTTAGCTGCCTCTTACTATTATGGATAATGGTCGTTTTAAAGACACCATTGATGACAACAGTAGGAAAATACACAATCAGAACCGCCAGGTTGTGAAATGTGAACACTCCAATGCTCCAAGATTCGCGTTCTTGTCAGTACCTAGACATTGTAATATGTTACGAGACAGATCCGACGCGGTAGAAAGGAAGTAGGTGGCATCAATGCCTACCCTAACGGAACATAGCTCGACAGTAGATATTGGGTGACGATGGATCTGCTCTTTAAAATTAGGTATCAGTGACAACAATAGTAACACATTCAGCGGAGGATACTAGTTGACTAAGCATAACTCGTGGTTGTCTCGCGATAAAGGGAGAAGATTGATGATGAAACAGCATCTACGAATTTTCACACCACGGACTTATCGACCCTCGATCCGAGAGATGAAACTCACATTAGGGTGCTGAGAGGCAAGCATATAACTTCACCTGTCTGCAACACTCAGAAAGCACAATCAATTTGCTGGCAAGCCTGGGTTGAGAACTGGGAATGTTGTTTTATTTCAACTTGAATAGACTCAATGGTCTCGAAAACGACGGTCATATGTGACCAGTGCCTCTGACGGGGATCAACGTCAAAGCATGCAAGCCATTCACGTCTTAGTTAACCAAAAAACACCGACGGCCCTCGATCCGGCACCTCTGGATTCCTTATTTCCCTCAACACCGACGTTTCTCAATCCCAATATCTTCCTACCCATGCCCTCTCGATCCTGCTTTTCTCAACTCTACCAACTTATATCTTACATACCCTCGTCTACCGAAAAGAAAGACCCCGGCAAGCAAACACTGTTTTAGATAACCCTCGGAAACCTTTGAGCAGGACCCTTTGAATAGTCCCCCAACAAAATGACGTTTGCTTTTCAATCTTCCTAGGGCTGATTTCGTCCGGTGGCCTGAATCCTCGGAATTCTTGAAACTCACTGTCACCATGATGTAAAAGCTACAACGCCCAGCCGGAAGGGGCTGGGTGATCCGAAGCATTTGATGGCGCACAGATATTACAGCCTGCTATCAAACACCCCCATAGAACGATGGAACTGCCCCCAACCACAGCTGTGATGACCAACACCTCGCCTTACAGACGGGCGATATTCGACCGCGGGGTCTGGAGTTCGGAATGAGCAGCTATTGGTGACAATCTGGTGTTTGAGCTCCTTGCCTACCGTGATTCGCTTATGGACCCTTCGGCAGTCTCATCTCTGCCTTGCTTGCGATTCTTCTCCCGGGCTGTCGTCGTTACCGCCATCTGGATTTGCCAAACTTGATGGAATTGGCTGCAGGGAAGTATTCCACGAGATTGGGTCTGGTGACACATTCGGCGCTGGGGTGAAATCAAGGCTCCCAGCGTGTTGTTACTGTCACCACGCCCTCCGTGCTCCAAGCCCGAGAGGGAGCCCTGCTGAGGTTCAGTTGAGCACGGTAGTTCTGGATTTATAAACGAGAAAATATATCCATCTTGGGCACATCGTCTGCAGCATGCAAGACCTTGCGCCTACCTACTTGATGTCAGGCTCCGTCTGGTGGTACGCTGAGATGCACAGCGCGTGCTGCGCCGCATCCGGGCGCATCCTGTCCAGGTGGTAGCGATGAAGGGTTCATCCAGCCAGCGCAGGCGCTCACTGAAGAGTAGCCCGACTTTGCAGGCGCCTCTGAAGCGGAGACGGCGTTGAAGCCGCCATCCACACACCTCCAGTCCATCTCCCCAAAACTGTTACCATCCTGTGCCAGATTCGAGTTCCCCGCAGACGACGGCTTGACGATCCCCTAAGCGATCGTTAGCGAATGGGGGTGTCAGCGGCGGTACGTACAGGATATTTGCCAAGAGATTTTTGCCGTGTTTGCCTTTCTTTATCCTGCGATGAAACCTCTAACTATGCATCCCCACCAATCGGTAATCAAATCAGGCTAGCAGCATACTGTAACTATTCCACCCCGAGGATACTACGTAAACGGCGAATGTCAATGAAGATCTCTAGCTCATGTGATGGCTTTCGTTGCCAGGAAAGAATCCCTGCTCAATAATGAAGACATATTCAGGTAAGCCCGATCGAAAGCGATCTCGGTCTTTGCACTGGCCTGTTGATATCATGGAGCCACGGCCACTACGTCGATATTAGTTGATAACTAGTCCAAGGCAGCCAAAGGCCGCCCTCAAGAGACAAGATCAATAGACACACTGGACAAATGGAAGGTGGAATGGTTCGGTTGCTGCTAAGGGGCCCATGCAGCCTCAAGTTTCTTAGACACTGCGATTATACAGACTACTCTACTCTACCTGCAGGACCCCAGGCAATGCACGAAGGTGAAGGGCTTTCAAGTACGTAAGTGCAACGACGGAGTGTGGGCTATGCTTACCATTATGCATACCTTTTTTGTGGAAAACCCCTAACGATCTTATCAATCGATACTACCTACGTAGATCCGATGTTTTTATCGTCTGAGCGGCGAGCATATTCAACAATTGCTGCGCCAAATCCCTACAATCAACAGGAGGCAGGGTCAGAAGTACGTCTTTCTTATAGGCATAGCGGCAACGCATTTTTCGAATGTCAAACCTTCCAAGAGACTAGAGAATGCGCCATACTTCAGGTTAAGAGAAATGACTGCGTGCTTTTTACACTACCTAAGCTGCAGGGTCATCAGTCAAGGAGATTTAGTAGGCTGCCCTTCTGGACCATCAGGGTAGACACCATCAAGGTAGACGAGTGTGGTAACTTTAGCCTAATGTGAAAAGTACTGCTTACTGATCCCTACTAGGCAATGCCAACATCATCTAATCGATCTTCTCGATTGATAAGATGCGCTGATTTCTGTCCGACATGGGAGATGAAACCATAAGGAGGCCCTATTGGCTTCCCTTTGCCGCTCAGACCCATCCCTCGGTTACAACCCGGTGATGGGGAGTGGGAACTTGCACTGCGATAACTGCTTGTGGCCGATCATTTAAACTGAGCTTGGCGAGGAGTCCTGTCGGCTTGCAAGGTAGGAACAGGAAACAGGCCCGACCAAAGGCATTGGCTAACTGTCTTCGAGAAGTTGACGAGGTGAAGCTCCAAACCTCCACCACCTACAGGCAACAAGTAAGCTATAAAAGAGGTCTGTTGGTCTCCCGAAATTGATAGCTCATCTGGCAACGTTTCTTCCTCTGTCCCCCATCGTTTTTTATCTTCGCCATGGCGACTCAAGCCGCCGAAAACATAGCCGCGGACGACAAGGCCCCTGCTGGAGGCGTCCAGCCAAGGAGCGCCCTCCTCGATGATGAGATTACGGATGACATCTCTGTGAACAACCATGAACAGCAAATGAAGGACCGTGCGCTTCTCTCATCCGACGAGGAGAAGAAGCTCTTGCGCCGCGTCGACTTCCGCCTGATGATCTTGTGCGCCATCATCTTCATGATTAAAAATGTCGATGCAAACAACGTGAGAATCAGCCACCTTGATGACGGCGGAACTAATCCACAGCAGGCCGCGAATGCAAGAATCATGAACAAAGACACCGACCGGAACATCATGACACAGCTCAACATGACTGCTGACGACTACAACTGGGTCAGCACAGTCTACAACGTGAGTGTCTCGAAGCCAATATCGACAATAGCCAAACCAACATGGTCCACAGATTCCATTCATGCTTTTCGAGATTCCCACCAACATGATTGTAAAGAAGATGCTTCCTTCCAGATTCCAGTCGCGCATCATGGTAAGCGCCCAGGGGCAGTAAGTGCTTACTGCCAAGCTGTCAACAGCAGCATGGCTCACTGATCTCAATAGGTGACTTGGGGTCTTGTCTTAGCTTGCCACGCTGCGGTCAAGTCCAGCGCTGGCCTCCTCACCGCCCGTTTCTTCCTTGGTGTTGTGAGTAGCTACTTATCCTGGTCCAGGCGAGTAACGAGACTGACCCTCTGACTGACAGGCTGAGTCTGGCATGTTTCCCGGTATTATCCTCCAGATGAGCTACTGGTACCGCGCCGATGAGATGACCCCCCGGCTTTTAATTTTCTGTGCGTGATACTCATCATGATGCCTCAATGTTGCGAACAGAACACTTCACTAACGTAACCACAGACTCGTTCGAATTCTTTGCCAACATTGTCAGTGCCGTGTTGGCCTTTGGGTTTAGCGGCATGAACGGGCGACATGGCTTGTCCGGCTGGCAATGGTTCGTTTGCTTTCCCTCATGCTTGAACGCATCATTAACTAAACCTGCAGGTTCTTCCTGGTTGAAGGTGTGGTTACGATTGGCTTCGGCGTGTTGCTCTTCTTCATCTTCCCTGATTGTGAGACCCCTCCCTCCACCATGTCTTGACGGAAACAAACGATTGCTCACGGGTTGGCATCTAGTTCCCGCCCAGGCCAAATGGTTGACCGACAAGGAGAAGCGATTCCTCCAAGCTCGCCTACCACCAAACGCCCCTCGGTCGTCCGAGGCCAATTTCAAGGCAAGTGAGATCTGGGACACTATGAAGGACCAGCGCCTGTGGTGGTTCGCCTTCATCTGGGCCTCCAAGACGATTGGCAGCACAGGCCTCTCGTTCTACTTGCCTACCATCGTCGCCAGCCTGGGACTTGCGTGAGTGATAATTATTCCCGCAGAATATGTCGGTAGTGTTCAGACCTGACTCATTTCTTACAGTTCCATTGCCGAAAGTCAACTGCTCACCATCCCATCCTCAGTTCTAGCAATTATCCTCATTGCTTTCAGCAGTTACTTGACCAATTCGCTAGCCGTGCCATACCCAGCTGTTGCACTAGTGTATTTGATCTCTAATTTGGCTTGCTACGGCGTCATGGTCGCGTATCCGAACAATGGAGGCGTGTACGCTGCTACACTCATTGCTGCGGGTGTCTCGCTGGCCTGGTTCGCAACCATGTGGCCATGGCGTCTCCAGACTACGTTCAGGGCGACGGGATCCGCCTTTGCCATTGCCTGGGTGAACGCTCTAGGTGGAATCGGTACCATTGTCGGACCGCAGATCTTCCGCGCCAAGTACGCGCCCGAATATACTGTGTCGTTCGCGGTGGCCATGGGCATGACGGGCTCGTGTATCCTCGCCATATGCTGGACTTGGTGGCTCACTAGGGAGACAGAGAGGCAGACCCGTCGCCTAAGAAAGAGGCGTCTCGCCGCCTACAAGAACAACGAGGTCGTCTTGGACGACGTTGACATCGACGCAGATTTTGAGAAGAAGCCGAGGCTACATGCTTAAGTTAGTATCAAAGTATTCTATCCCGTGCACGGGTAGACAGTTATGATCAAAATAAGCGCTTCTGAGCACCAGAATAGCCCATCTTGAGGAGGAAGTTGGCCGGTTGAGTCGAGGAAGACGATACCGAATCCCAACAAAAGGACTGTGATACTAGTGGAGTGTCTAGTGGCTGGTGAGACTATTTCTGATGCAAACGAGGCAATTAAAGAGGCGGATGCTGTTGGCGATGTGATCGAGGTGGGAGGGGTAGAGGAAGATGAGAGGTCGAGTTGGGAAGAGGAAGAATTACGCAATATCAAAGAATACGTGAATTTCCCACACATGGTTAAAAACTCGGCTTTTGAATGGGAAACTATTTTTTATGCCCCATGGTAGGTAGGTACGGCAAGTAAGTACTGCATTAGAGAGCATTGTGACGGTACAAGAGCACGAACAAAGTTAGGTGTGACTTGGGTAAAATGATTGTTTACGAGGAGAGAATAACACTCCTCCGGGCAAACTCTAACTCAAGCTATTTACACGATATTCATAACTTGAGCGAGACCATCCATGAATGATGAAAGCCGCCTGACCATGGCACGCAGCATCGGAAGTCCGTTCTAGCAGCAATCGATTGTTTGGGCAAAGATACTCGGCATCAGCATGTTCTTCAGGCGTGGAAACCTAACCAGAACCTGCTCTGCCTCTTCGTCTACCAGCTAGGGTACTCTGTATGTGTTAGACCCATGTAGGCGTGAGTGCCTTGATAAGAGTCCAAACTAAACTCGTCGCTTGTAGATGTGGGGATCTAGAATGTCGTTGGATAGGCTCTAGGCAATGAAATCGGCGGTATCGTGCGATCAGAATGAAAAGCCAGACATGCCGAGAGATGTACCTCTGTGAAGTTATTGTATCATACCAGGCCATGTAGACTCGCAATCGCCTCCCCAGTGGGCAGGCAACTGCTGTCCTCCTACAGTTGCAGCCCTCGCAAATACAGCCGCTTCATTCAAACCACGTTCTTCGGCAACAGCCTCAAATACAGTGCGTAGTAGTTGCGGCCTTGTCGAGGATCCATACCATTGTGAAACTTTACACCTTCGCACGGTGTGCGTTCGCCAAAGTCTGTCTTGAACGTGTCAACTCCGAGACGAAGGAGCTGCTTCAGATGTCCATGGCACGATTTGACGGCAGCGGAATTAACTCAGAGTTTAGGCGAATTTCATAAAAGAGCAATATATCTTATTTATTTTATGTGAATTTAGTGGTTTATATACCTCGTAGTACCCTTGGAGATGAATCATGTTAGGCAATATTAGGGAAGTGTACAAGTCTGTTCTAGAAGTAAAGGTTACGACCTCCTTAACACACCAACTCATGACTCCCGGGCAAGGACATCAAGAGATGTATAGCCACCCGGACTGCCACTGGAAATATAAAGGTAATCGCCCGCGCTGGGCGTAAACTTATAATAGAACTGATTGTTCACATCACTGCCAGCCTGAGTAGTACAGGACTGATTGCCATCGTCATCCGTAGGGCATGCAGCTTTGGGTGCCGTACAAGTCAGCTTGCCACTGACGACTTGACAGGTCAAATAGTCGTAGTACATATCAGGGCCGGTGTTGCCAGTCTGGCAGTAGCCAACATTGGCCGGGTCAGAGGGCGTGTTGGTTAATCCGTAGTAAGCGCACACGAGAGTTCCTGTGTTCTTATCTCGCAGCCGGCCGGTGTCGGGATCGAGAATGAATGTTCTGGTAACTATGTTCCCAAATTGAGGGTTGAATAAAAGGATGGTGCCTTCTTGATCTACGCCTTTGAGGGGTTGACCTTGGACAGAACCACCGCCGCCGACGATGGTGAATGTTGGGGTTGCTACAGCTGCGGTAGTTGTGCCCTCGGCTTGAGCCGTCGTGGTAGTAACTTCGGCCGTGGTTGTGCTCTCGACCTGAGCCGTCGTAGTAGTAACCTCGGCAGCGGTTGTTGTCTCAGCCTCCGATGTTGTGGCGGTATCCGAAGCAATCGCGGTAGTAGTGCCCGCCTCGATGAATGTTTCAGATGATGCGACTGGCACGGTAGTAGAGGTTTCCGCGGCGGTTGTAGTGGGCTGCGTTGTAGAAACGATCGAGGTCATGGCTGCGGTATCCGATGCTGGAAGGAAACCCATGGTCAATCAATCACACCTCGTAATATCAACCCTCGTCATTCCCTTTATCTCGACTTACTGGAAGACCTGGGCTTGCAAGGGCCGGCTAGCGCAGAGTCAGTGACAAGAAGGCCAATGGCCAAGAATAAAACGTTGGACCGCATCGTGTATAGTAGCAAGCATTTAAAAACGATTGACTGAGGTAAGCTGCAAAGAAGAAGAACATGAAGCAAAAGAACGCTAGAAAAAGGGATGCTTGTAGTAATAGGTAGCTGGTCCAAAAAATCTCATCTCCCTGAAATCAATAGTCTGATCTAGCGCGGCACAAGATCGAAAACGAACTTGGTGCGCAACGGCAATGGGCTTGGCTATTGCTATCCTAGTAGAAAGAAGCGGGGCCAATGCAATATTTGCGAGGCACACAGGGGGAATATTATCTTCTCACATTTGCCAGTATCAATTTGTATGACCTTGTTTAGTAAAATGTCGTGGCTAGAGTGAAGGTAGCAAATCAGCTTGAGTGGAAACCTTGACTTCGCACATTGTAGTTCATCCGATAGATGTAATAGTGGTCAATAAAGCCATAACAAAGCCTTCATCACACGCAAAAGTACTATATAACCCACCCCATTGCGCCCCTATTGATACATTAATGGCCGTATTCCTCCCAATACTAGGACTCCCGAGGATGACCAAATCTTGATCGCTTTTCCAAGTTCCAAGAGTTTTCTAAAAATCACCTCACACGTTTGGTACCGATATGAATGTGGTAGGAATCTTCAGTACGTAAGTTTTGTACCAAGGCCAGAAGACTTCGAGCGACCAAGCTCGCAATCGGCGAACACCAGCAATAGCCTGAAAGGTCTTCAATGGCGCTTCGGTTGACCCGAATGTGCCGCCCGTCCACAGTGTCTACACAAGAGTTAGCATGCAGGTCTTTGGTGGAGGCCCTTCAACTCTAAGAGGTAGCTTACAGTCTTTCCATCCCGATAAGATGTGGCCACAAATTTCCACTCGTGGCCGTGAATGAAGATACCGGGAATAAACGGCAGTTGACGCAAACCATCCCCGGCAAGCTCTGATAGTAGCTTCCATTGTGCCGCTTGCCAGACTCCCATCTGCAGTTGGGCCTTTTGCTCAGATTCGCCGCTTCGTTTGGTCTCAATACTGACTGAAAGGGGGTGAGAACGCAGAGGCGGATAACTGGTATGGTTGATGGAGTTATCAGTTAGTGTCCGGCGAAGGTTCAGAGCTCCATCCTCGGTTGTAGACTGATTACCATCCTTGCTTGGATCAAGGTGGAACACGTAATCGACTCTTTTCCCTTGGAAGTTGTTTATCCGGTAACCAGGGAGGATGCTTGCGCTCGTGCTACCAGGAAATGTCAGTCGTTATGTGTCGTCATTCCAATGGGCTCAGAGTCGACTGACCATGGACTGACCATGGACAAAATCCATCGAGTTGACGGCCCCGAGGCCTTCTCCCGTAGAAGACGGCTCGGAGTAGAGGCGTATGAACAAGATTATTCCAGTCTGCTTCTTCCTGCTCCATATCATGGCAGTCCTTGGCGTCGCCCACAAACTGCACTACTTCATCCAGTGTGAGCCTATAGTCCCCAGCAGGGATGCTGCTTGGAGCAGCACCGAGCGTGGGCTCTGTCGGGCTGGGTGCATTGGCAGAATGGTCGAATACCCTAGGACGAAAGACAGCAAAGGTACGGGTTGAGCCTTTAAGGTGTGATATTTCGGGCTGCGAGAGGTTAGCTGAAGAGATTAGGCACAGAGCAAAGCGATCTTGCAGACCTCGAGATACCCAGGAACGACGCAACTCCCAGTTGCAATAGTCTCCATATCGATGCAAAGCTCTGCCAAAGCGTCGGGGACATCCGGGTCATCCACATCGAGTTGCTTTCGATCAACTCCACTGGGATAGAGGCCAAGGGTGGAAAACATCTTGCTGGGAGACGAATTATTTGATGCCTGGCTACTTTGATATGACAAAGAAGAAGTTTCCGAGTCACGCAGAGACGGTGCAGCTCCTCTGCTAGGTTGAGTTGGTGTCTCGTCGTCGTTATCGTAAGGCGATGCATGTGTTCCCAACGCGGACCCAGCCCCAAGCTTCCGTCTCTTATTCGAAGGTGTGATGGGCGGCATCTTGGAAACCTGCTTGCTCTCTAGTGAATCGCTCTGAGCAGGTTCATGCCGCGATGTTGGCGGCGAGAGAGGTGCATGCAAATCTGCATGGGGTCGTTTCCTGTTATTTCGGATGTGCTCTTGAAGAGCGGGCCTTATCCCAGGAGAGAGCAAGTTGTCGGGTACGCTATAAAGCCAATCGAGTACGCGAAGATCAGAGTTGCTCATGGTTCATGCGTAGCGATCATGGCTGAGATGCACGGCGATACGCGTGGCTCTATTGGTGATGATGCAAAGTTGAAATGGAAGTTGTCCGTGGGGCGGTTGGCGCAGCAACAAATGACATGCTGACTACACACGGCTGAATAAGCAACCGATTGCGCTGACACTCGACACCGTGAGATTTACGGATATGAAGACGCTTCTTTTTAAGTGAGCCTATCATAGTCTACCAGGCTTTTATCGTCCTTCTTATCTTATCTCCCTTATCGTTTAGAACTCTATTACTCTAAAGAATTTCGCACTCAACTACCTAATTGTGCTAATAAATAAGACTATTAATATTAATATAGAGGGTTTCTGTTTATTTATTTTTTTGCGCAGTAAGTTTAAAGCTATACAGTCTTGATCTTGATCCCCTTGTTAGAGTGCAGTCGCCTGGCAGGCAAGATCGGAAACAAACCCTCAAGACTCTAGGTTAGCAACAGGCCACAAGCTCATCTTATCCGTCACTTGCCTAGCAATTTGCCGCGTATCTACGCGCCCCTAGGGGACATTAAGCCTATCATTATTAATCCCAATATTAGGTATATACGATCTTATAGCCCGATCTTCTAGCTTAGTTAACCCATCAAGGGCTGGGCTTCAATAATAGGTTGCCCTCATTGCTATCCCCCGCTCGAATGGCTCTGGCGCCAAGGACCATTCTACAAAAATGTTGAGCGCACCCTTGGCATCTGCTTCTTTTCACTTCTTCCGCCCTTTTTCATCGATTACCTTGACACTGGTCATTATGGAACGCGTGGATGGAGGAGTGACGGCCGGCCAGTCTCATGGCTGCAAAATCAGCGACGACGAACTCCCGGTTGTCGCAAGATAATGTCAGGTTGCTCCATTGGCTTGCCAAGAACCGACACTCTCATACCACGCTCCGGAATCGCTGGGAAAGCTTGTTTCGTCCGGAATACCTTATCCCAGGAGACTCGCTCGCATGATGAGACCTTTTTATGAACCAATTCTTTATAGTGAACGGCAGCGGACATTCATGTTCATAATTTCTCAGCTAGTCACAGGTTCAAATTAAAACCCTTGTTCATTCTTCAGGATACTCAAGCAGCTTGACGGAATCCTCCGAACTGTCCCTTCCAAATCCCTTGTCGCTTCTTCAAAGGCGGTTCCGTGAACTTTTAGCCGTGCCGGATCAAACTACACAACACACCTCGCCTTAACAACTGGTGCTCAATCTGAACTTTTGCTTCCTCTAACAAACTGCATGTGTCTTTCCCGTCTTTCCTTGAAGAGAATGTGTTTCATTCTGTTTACTGTTAGTGATTCCTGACCTGATACAGATCCAACAGTTACGTCCATGGAGGAAGACTGACCTTGTATTCGGGATGAGCACCATCACTCTTGCCCAGAGCTGTTAGGTGCTTGTTAATATACGCTTCAAACCTCTTGGAGCTCTCCTTGTCCATGTCTTGGAGAAGCCGACAACAAAGGGCAATGTCACTTATCAGCGAGTCACACCGGGACCGTGTAAAGTCCTCCCTCACAACAATCCTCAACATCTTGACCCCAGACTTGGGAGCCATAGTGTACGCTGGAACCACCCATCCCCGAGATCGAAGATGATGAGCAAGTGCGAACTCATCGTAATGTCTGCCCTGCTCGTCACTGCCGTCCTCCTCGGGTGTACTGAAGCGGAAGGCAACAAGTGGCAGTCCTGCCCCGTTGCGCTCTGACATGACGATGAAGCCCTGCTTCTCGATGGCATCGGCGAGGTAGTCGGAATTACGGGTGAGATTGCTCATGATACTGTGGTAGCCGTGTCTACCGAGGCGGATGAGTTGGTAATACTGGCCGATGACCTGGCATGCGCTTTTGGAGAAGTTGAGGGTGAAGGACGACTGATTGGCACCAAGATAGTTGATATTGAAGACGAGTTCTTGGGGAAGATACTCGGGAGCCCGCCAGATAACCCAGCCGACGCCGGGGTAAACAAGGCCATACTGTTGAATAGGTTAGCAGGAATAACAGTCACAGATGCAATAAATGACGGTACCTTGTGGCCAGACACGTTGATGGACACGACCTTTTCACATCGAAAATCCCATTCTAGCTCGGGCACAACAAACGGCGCAACGAAGCCGCCACTTGCAGCATCAACGTGAATGGGTACATCGACTTTGCGGTCGATAAGAAGGCCATTCAGCGCCTTGATATCTTCGTACTGGCCAGTGTAGGTCGTGCCAAGGATGGCACAAATACCAATGGTATTCTCATCGCAAAGATCAACAGCTTGGTCGGGATCAATAACGTAGCGATCAGGGTCGCAATAGATGAACCTTTCTTCGATCTCAAAATAACGCATCGCCTTCTCCCAGACGACCTGCACGGCCGACGACATGATCATGTTGGGCTTGTCGACGGATTTTCCGTCGGCAAGGCGACGCGTCTTCCAGCGCTTCTTCATAGCGAGGACGGCGAGCATGATGGCTTCAGACGAGCCAACAGTAGAGGTACCCACGGAAACGCCAGCCGGGGCATGAAAGAGGTTTCCGATGATGCTGACGCAACGGTTTTGGATGTCAGCAGATTGGGGATATTCTTCATAATCGATGAAGTTTTTGGAAAAGGATTCCGTCATAAGCTTTTCGACTTCATCTTCCTGTTGCCATGCTGGTTAATATGTCTGATGACATGGACAGATATGGGAATGGACTGAGTTACCATGTAAGTGGTGACAAAGGACGCCAAGCTTTGAACCAGTCAGTAAGTTCACAAGAGGCATACCAAGGACATAACTACATACTTGAGGGCCGGGTTATTATCCAGGCTGAGTTCATCCTTGATCAAGCGATACGCAATGTCGCGCGGCATCTCACCATTAGGTAGCTGATGGCGGGGCAGCTCCATGCACGCGAACCGCGAGCCATAGTCGCTTGTCTTGAAGGTATCCTCCTCGTCGGTGGAGAGCTCGACACGAGGCGCCTTGCCTGGCTGAGTTTTGTGGGAGTGAACAGTGGAGAGATGAGACATGGTTGTTGTTGATGGCCGCTTGTGCCTGTCTTGAGAGTGAGTGGTTGCTGGTCAAGATTTGCACTTGATGATATAGATTGGCTCGGAAACTTCGGTTGATCGTGTCGGTGATAATTCATGACGTAAAAATGGATCAAGATACAATTCCGTCACCGTTACGTCGTGATGCTGATTTGGGTTTGCGGCAGTGAGACTGTGCGTAGTACGTCGGCAGGTCAAGTGTAATAGCCAGTGGCTACTGCACTGTAGGTTAGGGTTGAGGCTGGAAGAAGTGCATCAGAGGCTTAGATGTTTGGGAAAACATTGCCCAATGGCTAGAGGGAAGCTAATCTATGGCTAGACCTCCAAGTCAACGTGGGTGGGGGAAAATAACCCGATTGACGGGAAACGGAGTTGACGCCGAGGTCCAAGTTCGACTTTAGCAGCCGTTGAGGAAGTGCGCCCTACTCAATGACTAACTAATCTTTTGCAACACTCCAAATAAGCATCAATGATCAGCACTGTGCAGCGGCTTTTGTTGCTGATGAATGGGGTACGGAACAGGGCAGTGAAATCATTCACATGTAGTGTACTGTACGACACAGTGCTGAATTGAACATGGTTCTGCCTCGTGTGCTACCTTTACCTGTGGCCTCAACTACAGTGGCTATGCATGCGGAGACGAGATGGGGATGAATGCCTCGGCAATGGGGATAGGTCTAGCAGAAACTTCACCCTGGTCAAGTAGGTATATCAACAATTTTTTGCGATACATTCCCGACATCAAGTCAACTCTGACGAGTACCTATTTCAATTGTCGGTTAGATGCAAGACTCAGCTTAGACAACTCTAGGGTCCTTACGCGGACTTCAGGTTCACATTCTCAAAAACCACGGTGGCAATTTCCCCGTGCTACTAACTTATACAAATAACTAACTTTGAATAGAAGAAACTACTTGGACTCGAGATCATTTGGCAGGCACGAATTTAAGCGGTTCGTCCATATGGATGGTCTGACACGCCGTGGCAAGCAGAGCGAAACCGACGTCTTTGTTTGGTACTTCATGGCAGCAAGTTTCCAACACAATGGCTTAGACTGGCAAGACATGTCGTCAGGAGTAGAATCCACGGCGACTCGTGAGGTTGCTACTTCACTGCTACAATACTAATTGTCCCCCTTCTCATCTGCATCCGCCTTGCCATGCTGCTCGATATGCTCTACTGTCGCCTCTACCTTTTCAGTCATCAGCTCCTTGACACCCTTGAGGCAAGCAACAGCAACAAGAGCCAAGACAGCGAATGGGATAACGCTTGACCAAGCCAAGCGATAGGCATGTGCATATTGCCATCTACTCTCCGATATGGCTGCATTCCACACCGCACTGTTGGCGCCCTCGACGTCACTGGACCCGATTTCCCCTGTGGCCAGAGCCTGCAACAAGGCCGGCACACTCTTTTCCGGCAACCCTGCAGTCACGGCCGCCTTGGCTACGGCAGGGGCATAATGTGAGCTTAGCCGTCCGTTGATTATGGCATCGAGAACAGCAGATCCAAATGCTCCGCCAATCGCGCGAACGGAAAAGGCAAGTCCGGTAGCTGTAGACAAGTATGCGTGTGGAGCGGTGAATTGAACGCAAGCGACCAGGAGCGTTAAAGGTCCCGACTGTCCAATACCTGTAAGAACATTGAGAACGTGCTGGACGGTGTTCCATGATGGTCGGATGGCGGCGTAGCAACTTGATCTATCGGGGTGTTGTTAGAGAAGCAAGGCAAGTGTGTGGATACGGACCTAATACTTACACGGCGATAAAGAACGTAAAGGACATGATGAGAGGAGACTTGAGATCCTTAAACCTAGTGGCATAGAGCATGATAGGAATCGAAAGACCGAGATTGACTAGCGTGAAGCCGAGGATCCTGACCGAAATTTGCCATGGGTCTGTCTCGAAGCCCAAGTGAAGGATGATCTGTGGCACGATAGAGTTGACAGCCGAGTAAAAGACCCAGCCCTCCACTCCGAAAGCGAACACAGAGAGGGCAAAGTTTGCGTTTTGCTGGAAGAAGATGTGGGCCACAAGGCCGTCTGATCTTCCCTTCCATTCTAAAAGAGAGACAGAGCGTCAACATCAACCCAAGGTGGTAACGTCTTCAGGTAGGTACTTACCGTATAAGCCAAAGAGGACGAATAAGGCTAGACCAGCAACGAGCGGCCCAATTACGTGGGCATCAGACCATGAATAGGTCCCCCCTGCCCAATTCAGGGCGAGCAGCATGAGCGATACACTGCCGATGTAGAGGACAGACCCAATAGGGTCACAGGCCCACAGGCACTCCTTGATGGTCATCCGAGGATATTCGGTTCGCTTGGGTGGCCAGTAAAAGATGAACAGTGCCAACGAGGTAGCCCCGTGAAATGCAGCCTGCGTCCAAAAGATGTACCTCCATCCAGATGCGTTGGCATTTGTGACGGCCCCAGCTCCCAAAGAGCCAATACTACAAATGAAATCAGTAGGTTTGAAAAGAGCGAGCATGAATCATGGTAGAGAAAGACCCACATGCTACCAACAGCGCCGCCGATAAAAGCAAGTCCATTTGCAATTGGTCGATACTTGAGAGGGAGGATTTCCGAAGGGATGGCCTGAACGATGGAGATTGTAGATAGCGTCGTTCCAATCAGGATACCGCCTCCTATGAGAACGCTCATAGAAGTAGCCTTGGCTGACATGACAGCTCCGGCAAATGCGATGAGAGGCGGAACTGAGGCGAGGTACTTGCGGTCAAGGACATCGGAAAGACGCCCGACAATGGGTGAAAGCACGCTTTGCATCAACAAAGGACCCTGCATCAGCCGTTAGAGAGCAATCCAGAGGGAATCAATCATAGGAGGTGGTACTTGGATAATCCATCCGGCGACAGCCCCGTCACCCAGGTCACGGACGATGAATGCGATCACTGATCCAGCTGCAACCACGACAAACACCTGGGCCATGATGCTGGACAGTTTGTTGTCAAAACCAAGACATGATTAGAGGGAGGGAGGTGAGAAAGACTCACGCAAAGCAAGTACAAAATACCACAACCTGTTTTTATTGCTTGGTCATTATTCATTCAACGCACGTGGCTAGGAACGTTGCTTACCCATGATCTCCAACCAAGCCTAATATGGTAGGCATCCTCAACAGCAGCCTCCTGAATCGGGATGACATCGAGCTCCTTTCGATGTGGCTGGGATGGCGGCGCCTCGTCAATGTTGACAGAGGGCTTGTCGTTCATTTTTTTTTTTTTCTTTTTTGCCTTGATATTGATCAACTGTCATAACAGGTCAATGCCAAGCCAGCACGCCCCTTAGTCGTATACCCTTTATACCTTTTCAGTCGGCGATCGAAACTGACAGGGGGCTTCGACGTACCCGAGGCAACAGGAAATTACCCCTCCCGGTGTTGCATCTCGCTTGGCTTGAGCTGGGATAAATGCGCCCTCGGGTTGGCTGAAGACTTGAGTGGCTTCTGGCCCTTGCCGCTTTGAGTCTGGGGAAACCTCAGCTGGGGATCGGCAGTTGTACCAGGTAGATAGTGCGGGGAACCTTCTCTTGCAGCGCTATTGGTTGCTCTCATTCACGTGGCACTTTTGCCTCGTGGCTCACCAACGCTTCTGGTGCTTCCCCGTGGGGGTGGTGGTTCTTGGTTCTGTCGCGTGATGTCTTGAGATGTTTTGACGTGATAGTCCATCTCAGGAGAAGCCGTGGTTCTTGTCCAGTTCCGGCCACGTCAAAGTCACCACATCAGCCTGACCGGGATACTGTCCGCTTGTAGTTAGAGCGTGTGGCGATGATGGCCGGCTCGACATGAGCTGTCCTGATTTGTAAACCAGTTGCTTCCTTGTCTTGCCCCTTTTCTTTATCTTTGCATCATTGACATCGGTGACACTTCTGTTTCCGAGAAACAGATTATCTGATGCACGAAGAACACAGTTCATTATATGGCAGCATTGAAACCCCATCATGCACTGCAATGTTACGGTATTATGAGACGAATCTTAAGGGACACGTAATTTACCATAGATCGGCGCTTTTGCCGCCTTCTTGCTTGTAGGTTAGTCCCCGTCAGCCTGCACATAAATATAGGAAGAGCTAATTATTTCCGATTACAATAGTTCATGGAAGAGTTACACGGAAACCTTAACTCTAATGGTTTTTTCCGCGAATTTCTTAAGTTAACCGGGGCAGGCATGCGGATTGTTGTATCGGGATTAAAAGAAGAGGGAAAGCCGGTGAGATGGAGTTCAGGGAGAGTAGTAGAACAGTTGGATGCTATTCAGAAGAAACATTTGTCAAAAGAAAAAAAAAAAATAGTCCACGAGTCGCTTATTAGGAGGACAGATGTACTGGTTTCAAAGTGTTCCATATGCGGTGTTCGGTCTATGCTGCTACTCTACTAGCAGTGAAAGGCGTGGTATAGAATTATGTGATTACTAGGACATATATTATAACGTCTAGTATTTTCTAAGGGAATAAACCAAGTATATTAGGTTTACTATTAATAAAATATCTCAGTATTACTATATAATAAGGGTTATATCTTAATAATAAGTTAAGAAAGTCTTAAAAGTAATTAAAGTCTATTAATAGCTTAAGGGCTAAATATCTATCTAAGGTATAATAAGTATAATATATATATATAAATATCTTATAATTATTAAGAGGATATTATAATATAAAAATAAGTCTTATAATATAAGATTTATCTTTAAAGTATAAGATTATTTCTAATTAATTAATATTAAAGGATATTTTATAAAAAAGTTTTTAGGTATATAATAGGGATTATATTAAGCTATAATATAATTTCCCCTCTTTTATTAGTTCTTATCCTTAATATTATTTTTATAGGCTTTATTTTTCTATTAATAATAAAAAAACTTAGTTCTATAAAAATTCCTATTATTCCTAATTATATTATAGTCTCGCGCTATATACTATAAGAAAGCTCAAGTTATCTTAATTATTAAAATTAATTATAATATTATATCTTATTTTTATTATATATTATAAAAACTTTATTATATTATAAAAAAAGGTTATTTAAAATATTCTAAGTATACTTATAGAGGTTATTCTTATAATAGAAAGGGTATATTAATTTAATAAGGTAAGAGGTATATTTATTAAGGTTATTTTATATACTTATTAATTCTTAGTAATAATAAATTAATTTATTAAAAAAAAAAATTATTTTAAGTTAAAAGAAAAAAAAATTAAAAAAGAATTAATTACTCTATAATAATAGCTAAATAAGTATCTTTCTTATTTAATATATCTTTATTATTAAAAGTATTTTCTTTAAGAGTAAGGTATAGAGATATTAAATAAAGAGTTATTATTTATAAAAAAATTAAAGTTATTTAATTAATTAGAGTTAGATATAATAATTAATATTATATATTAAATTTATATTACTTAAAGTAGGAATTAAATATCGCTATTAATATAATAATATAATTAGATCTAAGGGATAAATTAGTTATATTAAGTTTATATTAATAGGGGATTATTAATATTATCTTAAATAAAGGTATAAGTTATATCTAATAATATACTTAATAATATTAAGTATAACTAAGTTATATTAATAGCTAAGGTAGCTAATATATAAGAAAATATAAAGAGCATATTTTATATATTTAGGCTAAACTTAGGACTAATATTATTAAGGTTTAGTCTAGGGTAAGACTAATATTCTTAGAGCTTAGTCCTTAGATTAATAGGAATAAAGTTTAGTCCCTTTAGTCTTATTACTTAGTTAAGTAATTCTATTAGGCTTACCCACTTAATATCCCTTATAGCTATAATATAAGGTCTCCCCTCTATTAATCTTACTCTTAAGATTATTTCTTATAGCTAAGTATTAAAGGTAAGTAATTTAGACTTATAAAAATTCCTTCCTTATTAATATAATATTAAGTTAAGTTTCTAAGTATATTTCTTTTTATAAACTTTCTAAAATATAAAGCCTTTTTATATATATTAATACTTTTAGGTCTAAAATTATACCTTATATATAATACTTCTATTAAGGCCTTTCTTATAAGGTAATATTTAATTATTCTAATTAATATTCTAATTATATAAATATAAAGGTTATATATAATAATATAGGCATAGCTTCTTTTTATAAATCCCTTTCTTTTTTATATAATATATTTTATTTATAATTCTAGCTAATATTATAATTATAAAAAATATTTATAAATATAAAAGGCTTAAAAATAAAAAGGCTAAGGTAAAGGTTACTTTTAAGGTAATTATAGCTAAATTAGCTTATATTTATTAATAGAAATATCTTTTAAAAGCGCGAGGTAATAAGGCCTTTAAGTATAAATTATATATCTTAGATAAATTAAGTAAGCTTTATAAGGAGTCTTTTATTATAATAAAGGCTTATTTTTTTAAAGTAATTAATTTAATTAATTAGGATATTATTAGCCTTAATAAGTTTATACTTAGTATTATTAATAGAAATATTTTAAGAGGTATTATATATTAATAAGGTATTCTAGGGGTTCTTATATATTTTCTAAGTCTAAGTAATCTTTTTATTTAATAAAATATATTATTTTATTATTAATTTTATCTATATTAAATATAATCTCTATAATATATTCTTTTAATTTATTAACTTTAGCTTTTAGTTTATTATTAGTTTTAATTTAGATAATATCTTATATTAATTTAAATAATAAAATATAAAAGATTAAATAAAGCTTAACCTTAGGTAATAAGTCTAATTTATAATTATATTTTAAGATTTTTTATTTAATTTTATATAATTTAATATATTTATAATTAAATTTCTTATTTTATTATTTTATTTTAATATTTTTTATTACGAGGTAAATTATATCTTTCT